ATTTATTTATAAATTTATTTATTTTAAAAAATCATACCCCACACTTATATTCCATCATGAAAGATGTTAAAAACAACTAGATCAGTCACAATATCTAACTAAAGGAAAACAGTTAATCACAAGCTCAGCAAATCAAGACAGGCTGCATGGCCAAGAGAAAGCTAGGAAGGAGGAGGTTTCTGTAACTCCTCCTGATGGCCCTTCCATAGAGGAGGGCCACCACCAAGAAGGCACGAGTTCTACCTGTTGCCTTTCGGATTAGTCAACCAGAGGATACTATCAGCAGGACCTGTCAAATGGTTTAAATGGGAAAGTGGACTCCTGCCAAGAGAATCCACAGTTTGTTTATTTTTACATCCTGTGTTTGTCAGCAGTGGCCTTCTTGGTCTGATTCTTTTCTAGTGGACCTCCCTGTACAAAATAAACACTTTTAGGGCCAGCAAAGCCATTGAGAAAAGTTGTATTTCAAATTGGAAGGTCTGGTAAAAGATAACAAGATGGAAAAGTGACCACAAAGCAAGCTCTCTCATCCATGTCACTGATCACTTTTGACAGGTTTCATTGGTACTCCGAAAACAAGGCCTCCACAGATAGTATCATCTGACAGTGCACTCCTGTGATTTAGTGGAAAGACTTAATTTAGGTGCCTAGTGGAAGAATAAGGAAAGCCAATCAAACCTTTTACTCAGAGTTCTCAAAGAGGATCAACAACAGAGTATAAGCAGAATGTTGTCAACTCTCTAGATATCCCCCTCCTGGTCATTTTGACAAAGCAGGTTGGGGGGGGGAGGAAATGGCCGCATGGATTCCACCAAGCCTCCCTAGGGGGGTCAGCTCACCAGGGCAAATGGCTTCCAAGCCATCGTTTCCAGCTATCCCCAGACAGAGGAGAACTGTGATGCATGAACTGGAGCTAGACGGAAGTCACAACAGAATTTTGTCCCCGGAGTACAAGAGTATGCAATACATAATCCCACGTGAGGGGTAAGTGTACAGGAATTGCACAGAAGCCGGTTTGCCTGTGTGACCCACACTGCCCTGGGCTCCTTCCATTTCAACTGATCAACAAATTATGAGCTACCTTCTGGCATACTGATTCAGCCCGTAGAATGCCTGTTACAGTGGCCAGCCATCATCTCCCTCTGCGCTTTGAAATCTCAGACCCTCCTTTCCATTCGCACAAACAGAATTAGATCTAAGCGTGCAGAGAGGCAAACGCAGCTGCCACTTCGCCACTGCAAGGCAAGGGGTGAGGGAGGCTGGAGGGAGAGAAGCAACAAGTGTGTCTGCGTTTAGGGTGAATGTGCCTAAACCTGGGCCTGCACACACACTGCCTTTCTTCCACGCTTCCTCCAGCTGTTTCGTGCTATCGAGGAGGGTGGGAAGCAGACGGCAGGTAATTTAAGGATCCTTTTCCCTGCCGCTTCTCCCCCCCAAAAAAAACCCTGACCCGCAGAAAAGAAATAGCAACCCAGATTCCCAGATGTGCAGTTTGCACTGTTGGCTTACTTCAACCCTCGGATGCTCTCTGCGGCTCAATGAGGAGGAGAGCAGCTGTTAGTCTGGGATTACTGCCAGCCAGTTGTGGACTGTAAGAGTGCAGTGCAATAAGCTAGGGCTCTGTGATGGAGAGGTGGGGGGGTGGAGTTTTGCAGTTTATATTACCGAACAGTCTTTTAAAAAGTTTGTTTTTTAATTAAGGAGGGAGAAGACTCCAGATTTTGTGCCCAGTGACGGGGAAGCTCTTCCCAACACCAACTGAGCAGAAGGAGAGGTGGTAACTCCCAGGAGTGCCCACCTCTTTAACTTTCCTACACAGGGAAGGTGTCCCATCCCCGTGATCATTTTGGTTGCCCTTTTCTGCACCTTTTCCAATGCTATAATATTCTTTTTTTGAGGTGTGGCGACCAGAACTGTACGCAGTATTCCAAATGAGGCTGCACCATCGATTTATACAGGGGCATTATGATACTGCCTGATTTGTTTTCAATCCCCTTCCAATTGATCCTGAGCACAGCATCGGCCTTTTTTATCGCCGTCGCTCACTGAGTCGACATCTTCACCTGAGTTACCTACCAGGACTCCAAGATCTCTCTCCTGGTCGGTCTCCGTCAGTTCGGACCCCATCAACATAGGTCTATAGCCCTGACCTGGATAGCCCAGGCAAGGCCAATCTAGTCAGGTCTGAGAAGCTAAGTAGTGTCCACTCTGGCAAGGACTTGGATGGGAGACCGCCTTGGAACAGTGGAGGCAGGGGCAGGCTTCGTTCAGCCACCTCTCTGAATACCCTCCAGGCCCTCAGTAGGGGTCAGTCACCAGAGGTCGCCAGGACTTGCGAGTACACGCACGCGCACACACACATATGAAAAATACAAAAAACCCCACCCCAACATATATTTATAGTTAGGATTTTGTCAGCTTTGGGTTGAATGCGAGGGTCGGTTGAGTCATGGATGGGATCCAGGATGTATTAACCGAAGGTACAAGCGTCAGGTTCACCTCAGAGACATCATTTGAGAGTTAACTCCACTCTCCTTCGACAATGCAGGGGTCGCTTTTCGAACCGCCCTTCTCTCTGTCTTTCTCGCAACTCCTCCATTCCTCTTCATCGGGTCCACCTGTTTGCTTTTTATTACGTTCAGCCTGTACACCTGTTCCACCCACCACCCATTCCTTAAAGGAGTCGAGCCACCAAATGGGGCTCCATATTGACTTGTAGGGGAAAACTGACCTGCCACCCGTCTTTCCAGCGGTCATGTCCATGACGGCTGGCCCAATGGGTACTGCGGCCTCGCCCTCCACCCTTCGTGGCAGAGTCCCCTCTCTTGGGACGCGTGGCCAACACCCCTGGACCCCCGGGAAAGGGTCTCGGACTGCCTTCCCCCTCCTGGCGAGAGCAGACAGGACGGGTCCCGGCATAGTCGGGAGGGGGTCGGTACCGTCCTCCTGACAGATTTTTTGCTCCAGTGTGCATTGCCTTGCACTTGCCCACACTGAACCTCACTTGCCATGCTGACGCCCACACGCCCAGCCTTGCCAGATCCCTCTGGAGCCTCTCACAGTCCTCCCTGGTTCTCACTGCCCTGAACAACTTAAGCGTCATCCGCACGTTTAGCCACTTTGCTGCTTACTCCCAACCAATGTTCCCCCTAAGCTGTGGAGTCTTGTGAGCAGGAATTCTACTTTGTGAGCTGCTGGCATTAAAGTTGTGAGCGAGCCATTTGGCTCCTGCATCAATTAGTTTGCTCTGGAGCCATCCTTCCTGAGCTAAGGCAAAGATGTGTGAGCCAGAGGCTAAAAAACTGTGAGCTAGCTCACACTGACTCAGCTTAGAGGGAACACTGCTCCCAACTCCAAATCATTACTGGACAAGTTTAAAAGCACCAGACCCAATAATGAGCCCTGAAGTACCCCACTGCTTACTACCTTTCACTGTGGAAAGTGCCCATTTATACTCACTCTCTGTTTCCTGTTAATGAACCCGTTTTTAATCCACAAGAGGACTTTTCGTCTTATCCCAGCACTTATCTCATGCGTGAGGGAAGCTATTTGCCTTCCTTGTCACTAAAGACTTAATTTTCTTGGCCAAGGCTCACCTGGGATGTAGTGTGGAATACCCTACCACTCTGTGGGCGGAAAGGTAGCTCTCCTGAGTTCCTCTCTGGCTCCTTCTGACCCCTGCAGGGATCAGTCCTGGGATCACAGGGCCTGCAGGAAGGAACAGCCGTGTGGGTTGTGAGGACTCGAGTGAGGAGGGACAAGGAGCTGAGATTTCATATCCCTGCCATTCTTCATTCCGGCCCACTAACCCTCACCGCAGTTCCTCACCATGGAATCTGCAGCCCTGGGAGTGATCTTTCCTGGGCTCAGAAAGAAGTACTGATGGAGAGGACCATGGGGAAAACTCCCTATGAGGAAAGGTTAAGGCGCTTAGGGCTCTTACGACTGAGGGGTGACATGATTGAGGTTTATAAGATTATGCATGGGAAAGAGCAGGTAGCGAAAGAGGTACTTTTCTCCCTTTCTCACAATACAAGAACTCGTGGGCACTCCATGAAATTGCTGAGCGGTCGGGTTAGAACGGATAAAAGGCAGTCCTTCTTCACCCAAAGAGTGATTAACACTTGGATTCACTGCCACAGGAAGTGGTGGGTGCTACAAGCATGGACGGCTTCAAAAGGGAATTAGATAGGCATATGGACCAGAGGTCCATCAGTGGCTATCAGCCACAAGGTATAGATAGGGACTCTGGGGCAAGCGATGCTCTGTCTTCTTGGTGCTTGGGGGGGGGGGGCAACAGTGGGAGGGCTTCTAATGTCCTGGCTCCACTGGTGGACCTCCTGATGGCACTGGTATTTCTGGCCACTGTGTGATACAGAGTGTTGGGCTGGATGGGCCTTTGGCCTGATCCAACATTGGCATCTCTTATGTTCTTATGTTCTTAAAACTCTGTATCGTTTCTGCACACACAATATGATAGTTCCCAGGATGTTTATCTGTACACTTTAACCTAACCCCCCTATATACATATATCTTTGTATCATTTAGTATTACTTTGAGTTCATTTTACTGGATTTAGCAACCGCTGCAGACTTAGAATTCCCATTTTGAATTTTAGTGCATTTTAATGTTTCCAAACTATCTGGCAGCATGTATCCGGCAACCTCTTTCTGATGCCTCTGCTGGCCAGATAACTGGAGTTTCTGTCCAACAGTTTAAATCCTTTATTACATTATCATGTAATGCAATAATAATAGTCACTGCATAATTACTACAATAAATTTTGCATAATTACTACTGCAATAATACAGCATAATTACGACAATAATAGTATTCATACTTACTTTGTGGGGGGGTTTTGATATAATTTTTTACTTTATAGGACCAAACAAATGAACAAACAAACATAACACACACAAACGGTGTGTTTGTGCATACACAAACACACCGTTTGTGCATACTTACTTTGTTAACGTTGTTAACTTACTATTCATACTTACTTTGTTAACTTGTGATTTTTCACTGCTAAGAGGAAATCTGTTACGATCTCAGGACTTTGGTATTTACATGGAGTCTTAGATATGTATTTTAGCGTCTAGGTGGACAGAAAAATAAAGATGTACAAATCAGTCATGCCTGTTTCTGAAGTCTAATGTAAAAACTCTTCAAACCAAAGCAAGAGAAGAATAAAACATAGGCATCAAACATCATGGGGGCTCAGGCTGTATTTGTAAATTCTTCCTCCAAGGGAGAGTCCAACAGTTTCAGAATGACATGCTAGATTGCAAAATTATCACAGGGACAGAGACTCACACCCTTTTTAAAAGCCTCCTGGAAGCTGAGGCTTTGGCGCTGAGATCCTAAGCACCCTTAGTAAAAGTAAAGGTTTCCCTTGCTCAAAAGGCAGTCAAAACCGACTCTAGGGTGTGGTGCTCATCTCCGTTTCCAAGCCGAAGAGCCAGCGCTATCCAAAGACATTTCCATGGTCATGTGGCTGGCATGACTAGACGCCGAGACACACAGAACGCTGTTACCTTCCCACCGATGCGGTACCTATTTATCTACTTGCAATTTCTTGCTTTCGAACTGCTAGGTTGGCAGTAGCTGGGGCCAGAGACGGGAGCTCACTCCATCATGTGGCACTCGGGTCTCGAACGGCTGAGCTACAGACCTTCCAGTCTGCAGTTCAGCATCTTAACCACTTGAGCCACTGCAGCCCATTAAGCACCCTTAAAGGTAAAGGTTCCCTTGCTCGAAAGCCAGTCGAATCCGACTTTAGGGTTGTGGTGCTCATCTCCGTTTCCAAGCCGAAGAGCCAGTGCTATCCAAAGACATTTCCATGGTCATGTGGCTGGCATGACTAGACGCCGAGACACACAGAACGCTGTTACCTTCCCACCGATGCGGTACCTATTTATCTACTTGCAATTTCTTGCTTTCGAACTGCTAGGTTGGCAGGAGCTGGAACTAGAGACGGGAGCTCACTCTGTCATGTGGCACCCGGGTTTCGAACGGCTGAGCTACAGACCTTCCAGTCTGCAGTTCAGCATCTTAACCACTTGAGCCACCGCAGCCCATTAAGCACCCTTAGCCTCTACTAGATTCTGCCGGATTCCATTAGACCTCCTTTGAAGCAAATAGGCTCAGTATTGCACAGGAAAAGGCGGATATGATGGAACGAGATCAAGAGAGCAGAGAGAGATTTATGCTCTCTCTCTTGGGCCCCCTAAAGAAAACAGCCGGTCATGGATTTTGGACCAGGTTATTTAACCTGAAAACATTAGCATTTTACGAATAAGTAGCTGCAAATAAAATTAAACAGGAGACACGGGGGGAAACCCTCCGGTAACTTTCAACTCTCTGACGAAGGGAATTTTGACTCTCGAAAGTTTATATCCCAAAAATCTTGCTGGTCTCTAAGGTGCTACTGGACTCGAATTTTACTTCCCAATATTTCGGCTCACTCTCTGTTTCACCAAGAGTTGAAACGAACCCCAAATCAGCTACCGCAATGTTGTCCAGCCACCCACTTGCAACTGGATAGAGGCTGCTCTGTGTTCTGGGTGTGGCGCAGTGGGCACACAGCTGTCATAAGAACATAAGAACATAAGAGAAGCCAATGTTGGATCAGGCCAAAGGCCCATCCAGTCCAACACTCTGTGTCACACAGTGGCCAGAAATACCAGTGCAATCAGGAGGACCACCAGTGAGGCCAGGACATTAGAAGCCCTCCCACTGTTGACCCCCCCAAGCACCACCATCATAGGAGATGTAGACAGACAGAGGTGACAGGCAGCGTTGGGCTGCTGCGCAAGGGAGGCACGTGCAGGGTGAGAAGGGTGCGGCAGGCAACTGGAAGGTCCTCCGTGCTGGTTTTACTCACTTCATACATGATGGTGTTCAGGTTCTGCTGGCCAGAACTATGCTTGCTTTTCCCGGTTTCCCAGCGTTGCTGCTTCAGATCAGTCAACAGCTTGTAGACCTGGAAAGAGAAGCTTTCTTCTTAGGCAGCTTCAAGCACTGCAAGGTCTCCAAAACAAAATTTTCACAAGCCTGGTGTTATCGATGCTGGTTCCACACCTCTTCAGCAACGTGCCTCCCAACCAAGAAACATCTGGAACTGTAATCCTGGGAAGGGACAAATGCTCTACAAGACTAAACTTCTCAGCCTCCCCTCACTGAAACAGCAGCTTTGGCAGACGCCATGACAGTTAAACAGGTTGCAAGCTAATTTAGCCCTTTAGTGTAAATGCATCCCACTGAATTCTCAAGTCAGGCAGCCCTAGGTTTAAAATCACATAACGCCAAGGAAAGTGCCAGCATGCTGAACTGAACTGATGAATGAATTCTCTCTCATCTGTCCCAACCAGGTTCCCAGTTACTGCTCCATTTTGATAAGGGTATGGGGGAACAGATCTGGATTTTCCTTCTCAGGCACTAGGCAGGCCCTAAATTGTGTCGCATAAACTGTGACACGTAGTAGATACACTGACTGAAAGGGCACCTGATCCAGCAACCTTGATAAGACTCAGCAGGTCTTGGTCTGGTGGCCAGTGCTGGGCTGGGGTGGGGGGACAAGAAACACCCCACAACCACCAATATGCTGTCCTGCATTTCATGGTGAAAAAAAGGCAAGACAGAAATGTAATCAATCAGCACAAATCAATTTACCTCATAATTGCTGAGAAGGGCAGCATTTCCGTCTTTCCTAGGAAAAAAAGAAAACAAAAGACATCAGGATGCTTTAAAGGAATTGAGGGGGGGAAGGTGCTTTCATTTGCTGCAGCAATTGCACCTTAAGGAAACCCTGCTTCTCTTCTACCTCACAATGTCCTAAGAGGAGTATGCTCTGTAACAAAAGCACAAGTTTAAAAATCCACACTGAGACATTTATGCTTTACACTTCTCTTGGAAGGGGAGACTGCATAGGTGTGATCCAAGCTCATCAAAGCCTAACTAGCACGAGTCCATCAAGTGCCTTTGCTTCAAAGAGAATGCAGATGAGACTGCTCAAGTAAAAACAAAAGCACACCCCTCCTTCTAAGCTTTTAAACACACCTGCTGGTCCAATGATGTTATGGGCTGACTTGTTCTCCTTCTGCTGCACCAAGGAAGTGCTTCTACTATACACAGAAACCAGATCCACACCTCTTTCTCAGCCTCTGGTTATAAAAGTACAACTTTGGTGGAAGATACGAGTTAAATTGGTTTCAAATTGGTTTAGACCTTTAGTGTAGAGCTGCCATTAAAAACACCCATCAAGAGTCAGGCAGCCTTCCTTTTCTCCAATATAATCTTATTTGATTTGATGAAGCATGTGGCCATAGCCATTCAAGAGAAGCAGTGAGAACTTGGCTAATCCATTTTATGCAAAAGTAACAAAACGGTGTTTTCTGTCTTACTAATTCACCTCTCTCTTAGAGATATCCAGCCATTTCCTTTAACAAGTTATGTATGACATACACGCACACACACACACCCATATCCCATATACCGCAGTGTGGTGTAGTGATTACAGCATCAGATCCCAGGGCTTAAATCCCTACACTGATGTGAAGCTTGCTGCATGGCCTTTGGCCAGATTCTCTCTCCAAACCTAATGATAGATGCTGCCTTAACTACTTGAAGGAAGGGCTGGATAAAAATATACAAATACTGTTGGATTCTCTGGTTTTAGTACAGTCAGGAATCTCTGTCAATGTAGCAGAGTGCATTAAGCTTACCACACAGCAAAGCTAAGATACTGAGAGTGCTAGCAGACTTACAAAGTTACACAGAGCCGGTGGTCAGATTTAAACCTATTATTATATGGACCTAATAAACCTAATTAAACCTTTATTATATGGAACTCCATTCTAGACAGGATAGATGAAAGACAGAGATAGAGTCTATTCTAAATACCTAGGATGGGTATGGATGCAGGGAAGAGTGCCCCTGCATTCATTCTTCAAAGATGGAGAGAAACATGCTCCTTCTTTGTGTGTGTGTGTGTGTGTGTATGAGTGGAAGCGTGAGGTCAGGAGACAGGAAATTGCTCCCTAAGAATGTATCAGTCTACACATTAAAAGGACAGAAGGTAGAAGAGTAAACAGGAAGGATCCACCACAGTTTGCCTGTCTGTCTATCTGATTCTACTGTAAACCCTCCCTCCTGGAGGCTGAGGCAAAAGGACAGCGGCCTTCTCTTCTAACAAATCCGAGGACCAAGTCTGGATTCTTTGTTTAAAGGCATAAAGGTTATTAATTGATGTCTATAAGCAAAATCCCCCTGTGATAGACAGCGCTGCGTACACAGAGAGTTAAGATGCTGCAAGGGCCACTAAGAGCTGTGGTTTCCAATAGGATCCATACCAGCAAGGATTGGGATACCCTGCCAGAGGCGGGGTGTAGCTTTGCCCATGTCTTCCAAGTACAGGATTTCCCCTATGCGGGAAGGCAATCAATCATTCACTTATAAGAGAGAAGGTCAAGGGAGGGCACTTGGGAGACACCGGTGACCCCAGCCTTTCAGAATTGCCCCCTCCTCACCCTCAGCAACGTTTCTTGGTCACACAAGAGTGTGAGAGACTGTCAAGAAAACCCAGAGGGAATGTAAGGAACCGGCTGCCCCAGAGAGTTGATGGCTTGGGTAGGACTCTCCTCTGCTCCGCCTTCCTCCAGCCTAAGGAACAGTCTTCTGGCAGAAAACCCACTTGAAGAACCTTCCCCCAGTTTAGGCTTCAGCCTCTGCTGAGCACAGTGACAGGGTACAAACCAGTCTGCGTAACAAAAAGCTAATAAAGCTGCAGTATGGCAGAGGGAACGAAACAGCGAAATGTTGCACATCTGATCAGCAGAGCCACTGCCGTTCAGTTTTGTTTCAAATTCCTTTCAAAGAAGAGCGAAAGCAGGTGCTGTAACATATTCTGGTTGCTTTGCAGGAGAGACTTGACTTTCATTTGACAAACGTTTACATCCTGGATTTATTATAAGCCGCTCTGAGTATGTAAAGACGTCTTATATAATAAGAGAAAGACCTGCATAAGTCAGCTAGACTGGAGTCCACCAGCACCTTAGAGACCAACAAGAGTTTCAAGGTCTGAGCGTTTGAGAGTCAAAGCTGCCTTCGTTAGAGAGCTTTTGACTCTCGGAAGCTCATATGCTGAAAATCTTGTTGGTTTCTAAAGATGACCAACTGGTCATGACTAGTTGGCCTCTAGCTGTCCAACTGCAGATGAACATGGCGACCCTCCGAAACTTTTTACATAAGACAAAAATTAATAAATGTATCCATGCCCCGGTGCAGTTGAATGCACTGAAAGGCACACGACCCGGTCCAACAGAGGAGACCCACAGACAGCAGCTGGCTTGCTGGATCACAACCAGTGGCATAAATCTGAACGTGCACCCAGAGAAGGTTGTTGCGCAGCCACCCGGCACTGCTCTCAGAGCAAGGAGTGCTCACTCTCCACCTGCACTTTTGCTCAACTAGTCCACGCACATGCCCTTCTCCAAGCGCAACTGTGGCTGGATTGGAAAGACTGTGCTCCAAAGCCAGCAAGCGCCATCGGAACTCAGTTCTACTAATTGCCACCCAGACTCTGTTCTCTGGGGAGTTGTATGCCTGCATTTCCTATTTATGCATACCTCAGTTCAGCAGCCGGTACAATTATTTTATTTTGTTAAATAATAAATAAATAGAATGTTACATTTTAAAAAAAACCCAAACCACAATCACACATACACCCGTCACAAAGCTGTAAGCGCTATACATACTAGGTACAAAGGGTTCTGCTGAACAGACAGAGAACAGAGACAACAAGAGAGCTATACGAAAGGGGGGGGAGGCTTTTCTCGGGGGCCCCCTTGTTGGAACATATTTAAAAGTACAATGTATTATGTCAAGCACAGCCGGCGGTTTGAAAAGAACCGTCACGCTCATCACTTTCATACAAGTTCAACGCCTCTTCTACAAACTTCCACAGGTTCCATCCCGCTTTGTTTTTAAATTCAATGGGAGGGGGAGAGAAGTCCCCTTCAGAAAAAAATATGCTGAGTTAGCCTTCTCGTTACGTTTTGCTGACCCAGGAGAAAGTTCAGCAAGCCAGCTCGCACACTCGCATGCACCGGCCGCAGCTTTTTGTTGATAGGTAAATTCAATTCTCTTCAGAATCTCTGCGTTTCGTCCCCATCTAGAGAAATCCCTGCATGTCTAGGGTACTTGTGACCCAATATGTCGATAGAAAGTGAGAAGAAAGATCTTTTGCACAACCACATCAAAGAAACAGCATAGTACAGGATTCTGCTTGAACATGCAAACGGGGTTAGAGAATTACCCTCCGTTTTTTGAAATACGTTTGAGACAAAAAGCGTTCTCTCTTTGAGCAAAAATAAAAAGTCTGCCCAGCTTCAGAATATGCCAGGAGATTCGGTGAGAAGATGGTCCTTGACAAGTGCAGAACCATTGTTGGCATTTTTTCTCTCTACATCAAAGTGATATGCGTGTGTTCCTGTTTGTTCCTTGTAGGCAGCAATCCTGCACACACGTACTTGGGAGTCAGTCCTACAAAAACACTCGCACTGTTCTAGTAAAGGACTCGATGCTTTCCTAAAAGGACAGCAGGTTTCTTCCTGGCAAAGATACAGTAAACTGCAACAGACAATAAGACTGTTCCAGTTCAAATAAACAGGACGACACACAGCCTCTACAACGTTCAATTTAGACAGTCCTGCTTTTAGGGACCACCATTCAAATCCTCTGACATAAAACCCATCTTTTCCTCAAGCCCCTGGTGCTTTGTCACACAGCAGTGAAAAAAACAACCCCCATTGTTAAATTTCCTCAACACCTATGGATAGATATGGGGGCCCAGACTTCCTCCTTTGTACCCACCCACCCAAACAGGGGCTACAGAAAATCCGCCATCAGAAACACCAATATGAGCATCTAAGCCAGAAGAGAGCCACCCTGTACTTATTAAATAGGCAACGGATGTAGGACTTGTCCACCATTTTCTATTCCAGATCTGTTCGTCCAACATTAAAATTGTGCAGTCTTACACAATACATCCCACTGGATGTTACCAGCTGCCTCCTGCATAAAGCATAGACTAACCTTAGCAATGAATCCATTAAAAAACTACTGTCAATAGGTCACTTCCCTGTCCTTTTGCACACCTTGGCTAATGTGCTTTCCTTGCACTTCCTGTGTGAAACAGGAAAATCCACTTGCAAATGATCGCTAAAGTGCACCATCCAAGGTGTATGAAAGCAGAGTTAAGATATCTGTGACTGGGGGGGAAAGGAAACCCAAATTGGGGCCCCGGTCACACGGCAAAGTTGCCTCGGGAGAGGCACGGATGGTGAGCGGATTATCCGGGCGCGATCCCACCCCAACATCTGGGAAGTGGAGCGCACCCGTGGCTTACCGCCGACAATGCGAGTTAAAAAACTACCGTAGTACCTCCAAGGTACTAGTAAGCGTTTGCCACGGGCTGCCTCCAGACTCCCATGGTGTGATCGCGCCGGCGCACAGCATTCCCCTCCGGTCCCTTGTTTACCCGCCAGCGCCGAGGGAAGGACCCGTGGTGTGCCGCCAGCGCATCTGATCGCATAATCGCGGATCAAACTGAGGGGGCAATAGCTCCCCCCCCCCCCCCCCCCGGGATATCCGGCCCGTGTGACCGGGGCCTATGTAAGGTTTTCCTGGCTGGTCTCCTGGAAGAGATTTATACCCAGCCAAGTGGCTCTTCTGAGGCCCTACTCGGGACACTGCCATCCTATTCAAGGTTAAAAGGATTTTTGTGGTGATGGTGCCCCATTGGTGGAATGCCTCCCCCCGTCCCCAAGCAAACAGGCCCGTCGCTACAGTGGGGCATCTCAGGGCCGGGGCCCCCCCGACTTACCACCCAGACCCCCCGACTTCCCATCCAGCCGGTTTATTTTATTTTATTTTATTTTTCATGTGCGCCAAAATCCTGACAGCAAATCACACAGCGCCACTGCTGCCTTTCAGGCACACGGATTTGTTTGCTAAAGCATTTGATGGATGGCATGGTTTTTGCTGCTCCTTGTTTGGTCTTATTTTTAAACTATTTTCTAGGGTTTTTACATACAGTTTGGGATTTTATAGTTAACCTATAAAATCTCTAAGCCACTTGAAAATCATATGCGACAGGAGGAAAAAAAATGTATGCGTATGCGATCGTCGCCCTCATCTAATCCAGGTTAATTAAATTCAGAGTGAAAAATGTGCTCTCATGCATGTAGCATAAACTGTGAGCTCGCTCTGCTTTACCTAGAGGGATACCTTTATATTAATCATTATTCCACACACACAGAGGGCACAAGCCAGTCACAATTAAGCTCTTTTGAGGACTACTGAGGTCCCTGCCACACGGCAGGGAAAACACCGGCCAAAGTGCGGCAAATTAGAGCCGCACCAAAATAGAGACGCCGCGGTGGGATCCCATGGATCCCCTTAGCCATGGCACCGTTGCTCCCCGGCACAATCAGATGCCAGGGAGGAAGACACAGTCGGGAGGGGGAGGCTGCCGAACTGCGCATGCCGGAGCATGCGCAATTTGGGCTGGAGCCGGGGATGCGCGGGCGAAAGGACGCGCCGGCGATCCCACGGCCGGCTTTGATGCGGCCGTCTGGGATGAACCACCACGGTAGGTGGTTCGTTTTTGCAGCGGGGTTTTGGGTGGAAGGGGCGGATCGGGGACGCAAGCACAACGCTTCCCAGATGTTGCGGTGGGATCGCGCCCATTTGCTGCGCCCCCGATCCGTCCCTCTACCCGCCCAAAACCTCTCGTGTGACCGGGCCTGATTTCTGCAAAGACATGTTTAATTTTAATTCAACAGGGTTTAAAAGTTGTTGTTGAAATTACTGCCTGGCATTCTACCACAAACTCACTAGAATGCATCTTCCTCTCTAAACTCGGGGGGGGGGGGTGACTACTTGCATTAACCACCATTGTTTGGTTCCTGGAGTGAGTCAGAATCACCTCTGCAGGTAATCCATCAGGGAAACTTCAACACACTTGCAGCCTGATACTTGTGCATCTTTACTTGATCCCACTGAGATCAGTGAAGCTAAATTCCAAGTGGGGGGGGGGGGCGGACTGCAGACTTGGTTGCTTTTGTCCTTTTAAAGGTTTCCATTCTTATTGTTGTACATTATTCCTTCAGGATACAAAAAGAAGAATAAACACACATATAAAAGTAAGCAAATCATTGTGGTTTTTAAAAGGCCTCCTATTAAGTTGCGGGGAAAGCAGTATATGTAACTTTGAAAACTGAAACAAAAAATAAACACAAACCTTTTAAAACTCATACACATATTTTATGGAATAGATACTATTTCAAGGGAAGTGCAGTATATATTATTTCATCAAATTAAATTAAGTACACTAAAATGAACAACTAGACTAAAATGACAAAGAGTCTTGTAATTCCAAATGAGTAGCCATGTTAGCCTGTTACTGCAGAAATCTAGCAGCACCATCAGAGTAACACAGCTTTATTGTATTCCAGCACAAGAGTGTGTGAAATAAAGCCCACTTCGTCAGATGCAAAGCAGTAGATCTTCACCTGACAGCCAAACGGAAAGGGCCGAGAAAAATAATATAAAGAAGAATGAGGGGACTTGGACACCAAGTAGTACAGGATGAAATGCAGTTTTCCCTTTTGATTTCCACCATCCACGCACAGCATCTGAAGAAGTGAGCGCTATTCCACAAAAGCTTATGCTGGAGTAAAAGAGTCTTGTGGAACCTTAAAGATGAACTACTTCTCTGTGGCACGTGTTTTCCTGACTCAGGGCTCATTTGCTAGAGGGATGAAATGTCCCATTGGGTTGGCAGAGGCAGTACAACCCATCTGAGGAAGTGGACTCTGGCTCAGGGAATATAGCGCCACAGTCAAACTGCACTTTCATATGTGCTAAATAACGCCAATCCACTTTGGCGACCATTTGCAAGTGAATCTTACCATTTCACAGTAAAATCCAGTTGTAAAGTGCACTAAAAGTGTGTTATTTAGCGTGTGTGAAAGCACCCTGTTATAGTCATAGGGGTCCCGTTCACACGAGGGGATTTGGGCCGGGAGCGGGACGGTTCGGGGGCGGAGCAAATGGCCGCGATCACACCACAACATCTGGGAAGCGTAGTGCTTCCGTCCCCGAACTGGCCCATCCACGCGATAAACCGCTTCAAGTTGGAACCACCTACCGAGGTGGTTCATCCCAATGGTGTGCCGCAAACTGGGAGTCTGATCGCCGGCGCATCCTTGCGCCGGCGTGTCCCTGGCTCCTAGGCGAATTGCGCATGCTCCGACATGCGCAGTTCGGCTGGCTCGCCATCCGATCTGTGTTTTCTCCCCGGCGTCTGATCGTGCCGGGGAGAAAGGCGGCGCGGCCAGGGGATCCGTGGGATCCCGCCGCGCCGTTTCAACTTTGGCGCGGCTTTTAAAAGCCACGCTTTTTGGCGGCTTTTCCCCTGCCGTGTGGCAGGGGCCAGGGTTGCCAGTTCCATGCTGAGATATACCTGGAGATTTGGAGGGGGGAGCCTGAGGAGGGAGGGATTTGGGGAGAGCCTTAAATGCATCCTAATGCCATAGAGCCCACCTTCCAAAGTGGCCATTTTCTCCAGGTGAACTGATCTCTGTGGCCTGGTTGTAATAGCAGGAGCTCTCCAGCCACCACCTGGACGTTGGCAACCCTAGTCTTTAAGGTGCCGCAAAGAAGAGTAAGCCTCTCTTATCATTTCAGCGGCGACGGAATAACCATGCTTGCTTGTCCTTAGAACAAAGTCTGAGTCCAGTGGCACCTTCGAGACCAACGAAGTTCTATTCAAGGTGTAAGCTCTGGTGCGCAAAACACACTTCTTTTGCGCACGAAAACTTACATTTCGAATACAACTGTGTTGGTCTCACACTTCGTCCTGCCGCCGCTTCTTTTTTTTCCCTTTTCCTTTTTATTAATTTATTAAACTTTTAAATCTTTCGAATGCACTAAGCCTGATCTCCAGAAACACAACATGCCTATATGAAGCACAGTAATACAATAACTCAAAACTTTGTGAGACACAAGGAGCAGATGGAAGCTCTGGATGGCCGGGAACACAGATACAGAGTGAGAGATGTGCAACTCCATTTAGCAGGAGATAGCAGGAGACACCAGCAGCACTGACCACCTGAATCTATGCCTGTCCTTCGAGAGCGCGACGTTAGAATGCTACTTTTCTCCCCGGCCCCACTCCTTTTTCAGGGGAAAACTGAACTGCCTTGAACTGGGGAGAGAAGTGGCAAAGCAGCTAGTTTTTCCTCACACACACAAAATATGCCTCAGTAGCCTCTTCCTTCGACGCCGGGGGAGGGAGACCAATATGGTGGGCCGGCCGCGCACAGTCACGCTGCCAACTTGGGGTGGCAGCAAGGGGCACCCGGTACCTCAAGCAGTGCCCATTCCCCCCCCCAACTGAGGGGGAGACTGGTGTCCCCCCCCCCCCCGTGCCTTTATACTAGGGGGGGAAGGCGTTTCTCCCATCCTCTCCCCTCACCCTCACGGACTCTCCTGCGACTGGGTGGCGCCATGATGAACCCCGCAGGAGCGGCCCGCGGTGACTGACGGAGGGGAGCTCCGATAAGGAAACAGGGGCCCGTTCGCCCGCCATCTTACACTTCCATCGTGTCTCTCCGTCCTGGCGACGCAGATCCCCGGCGGGGCCTCCTCAGATTTCCTACGCGAGGAGGCCTCCGCCTTCCGCCGGCGCGTCGTCCTCGTCGTGCGGCTTAGCTCCCGGCGTCGTCCTCCCAACAAAGTACGGCGCCGAGGCTTCTTCCCACCCGCCCAATAGAAGTGGCGATGGTGGAATGGGGAAGAGAGAAGGCGAAGGTCACAGAAAGTGCTTCTTCATTCATCAAAATAGGGGTCTTTTTATTTTGCATCAGGGGAGGGAAAAATCATTGTTGCATTGGCCGGGAATCGAACCCGGGCCTCCCGCGTGGCAGGCGAGAATTCTACCACTGAACCACCAATGCATTTGTGAAAGAGTGGCTTCCTTTACTGTACTTGTAGGTAACTGTCTTGCTCTTTCCGAGGGATTTGACGGCTGCAAGATTTTACTCCTTATCTGGTTTCGTTTGAGACCTCTAAAAAAAACCAGAAGCCAAGAACTGCCTTCTGCGGCTAACAGTCTGGAACATTTGAGAGGAAAAAGAATTAGTTGCTGTAGATTTTCCGGGTTTTAAGTAATAATGATTTCGGAAGGAAAAGGAACGCTCAAGGCAGGGACCTGCCATAGCACCTTTATGATTGTCGTTAATAATGCGAACGATAGCAGCACAATTACTAATAATAATACTAATAACATATTAATAATAATAATAATCCAGGCAGGACGCGGCCCTTTTTAGGTTTCGGCCTTGATGCTTCTTTTGAAGCCATCGCTTTCATTACAGGGAATTTCCCCCCACTGTCTAGTTTCAATGCTTTCCTGCTGCGCCTTTTGGGCTTTTGCTCCCGCGGTGGCAAAACGGATCGGTTTTTATCAAGGGAAAAGAAAGATGCTCATTTGGTTTGAGACTATCCAAATGGTTTCTTCCCCCATCCCACCCCCTGGTGGCAAAACCATAAGAAGCAACAGAATTAGTTCTTATTTATTTAATTCATTTATGCCCTGCCAGTTTCTCTCAATCGGAATCCAAAGCAATTTACAGCGTTCTCCTCTCCTCCAGTTTACCCACACAACACCCCTCTGAGGTAGGTTAGGCTGAGTGTGACTGGCTCAAGGCCACCCAGCAGGATTCCATGGCAGAGGGGGAAGCTGAGACACTAGTCCATTTGATTGTTTCTATTATCCAGTGAAACCCCCAGGGAATTAGAGCCTTTGCAGCCAGCCCTGTGTTTTATGTTTAAGATTAAAACTAAGTAAGCCATCTTTTTAAAATATTTATTTATTTACATCATTTAAACCCCCACCTTTCTCCCCAAAGTGGATCCAAAGCAGCTTACATCGTTCTCCTTCATTTTATCCTCAGAACAACCCTGTGAGGTAGGTTAGGCTGAGACTCTGTGACTGGCAGAAGGAAGCTTCCTTGGCAGAACTGGGGATTCGAACCTGAGACTCCACATTCTAGGCCAATGCTACAATACTAATCATATAGCATAAACAGATAGGATGGGTATCCCTAGAGCAGAGGGAGAGGGAGGACATCTCAAAATGGAAAAGGTTGGTCGAAGATTCAAGACAGACCAAAGAAGGGACTGTTTCATACAACTTATGGAACTCACTGCCACATGACATGGCCACTGACTTAGATGGATTTAAAAAGGAGCTGGATACATTTATGTTGGACATGTCTTTCCCTGGCTGTTAGCCATGTTAGACAAGCAGGGTCTCTAGCTTCAGAGACAGAATTGTCTCTGACTCTCAGGTGTGGGGGAGCAGTTGCAGGGGAGCACTGGGCTGCCAACTCCATGCTGGGGAATTCCTGGAGATTTTGAGGTGGAACCTGGGGAGGGCAGGGTGTGGGGAGGGAGGAACCTCAGTGGGTATAAGGCCATAGAGTCCACCCTCCACCACAGCCATTTTCTCCAGGGCAACTGATCTTTGTAATCTGGAGATCAGTTGTAATTTCGGGAGATCTCCAGGCTCTGCCTGGAGGTTGACCACCTTAGGCTGTTGCCAGAAAGCCCTGTTTATGGGTTTCCCTGTCGCCTCTCGATGCAGTGCCAGGATTTCTGAAAAGCTGGCAATTCTGTCTGGACTGGACTCGTGGACGGGCGGGGGAGTGACTGTCTCTATGTACAGACAGCAGACGAGTCCCATGCTAAATGTACCCAGTGACTGTGCCAATCTCAGGGTCACATTTCCTCCTTTCTCACTGCAGGGCATGTGCTTGTGTGTTGGGCATGTGCATGTGACCTGGTCTTTCTGAATATTCTATCTGTGAACATGGGGATGCTGGAATGCCAACCTCTTTGCTCTTGGTACCCGATCCAACCATGTTGCTAGACAACACAGGAAACAAAGACGGCAGTGTCCTTCCCCCCCCCCATCCTCCAACTCCCCCAAAAGAGTGTGCTCAGCATACCAATGGTTTCAGCACAATATTCTGACTCAGATCGTGAAGGCCCCGGGCTGGGGGTCTCCATGCATGTTGGTATTAACTAATGAAAGCAGAGGGGCCCAGACACCACTATTGTGAGGAGATCTGCCCTGTGTTTGTATCCTTTGTCATGAAAGATGTTTACTATGCTCAGCATTTTGGCTGATCACACCAAAGAATCTTTTTTAAAAAAATCAGCATTCATGAAACAACTGGTTTTAAAAACACACACACACACAAAAATGACATCTTTTCATACAAGTTCAGCTGACGGTGCGTTTAACTAGCAGTTTCAAGCTATATACAGAATGCCTTTCTTTTTCTTTCTTAAAGCTGAACTTTTTTTAAAGTCACTTTTAGTGTTTCACATTCAGGAAAACACACGGCTTTGTACTTCTAACAACAACTGCAATCTTGCTTTGTACACATTTAGCTGACAGTGATGCTAACAATTTCAGGAGAAATGTAGAATGGACTTTTTTCCCTTTTTGCTCATCTTTTCCTTTTTTAAAAAAGAAAATCAGTATCAAAATTTTATCACAGTTTTGCCAGTAAATATGAAAACCATAAATAACAACCATAAAAGCTGAATAGTTCACTATCTAATAATTTGTAACTTAATGATACACAACTAATTACATTCTTTCCTCCCCTCCTTCCTTTTCCTGGATTTAGGGAAGAAGCCATACCATAGCAACCAGAATTGTCTCTTCTCTTCATTGTTAATGGGGATGCCAGCCTCCAGGTGGGACCTGGGGATCCCCCAGAATTACAGCTCATTTCCAAACTGCATAGATCAGTTCCTGTGGAGAAAATGGAGGGTGGACTCTATGGTATTGTACCCCACTGAGGTCTCTGACCTCCCCAAGCTCCATCCCCAAATCTCCAGGAGTTTCTCAGCTTGGGTCTGGCAACCCTACCTCACATCTCCCGCTGGTGGCCAGAGGGACCTGGCAACCCTAATTGTTAGTTAAGCCAGAAATCACACTGGCGCAGCCCCACTTCCCCAATAAAATGATCAACTGATTTCATTGGGTACAGTCTTCAGGGCCCATAGCCAACAGACACAATTCCTCAGCTTCTCAAAAGAGTGATCCAGGCTGAGGTTTCCTTGAAATGCTAGCAAGTAGTCTTTTTTTTAATGTTCACGCCTGCAACAGCCACATAATATTACTCTTTGAAATCTGGCATCCACTGGTGTCAGAAGTGTCTGTGACCATCTATTCCAGTATGAACTTGCCTGCCAGTTGAGATCTGCAACAGCTCCACATACTGTAATGACGGTTGGAGACAGAGACCCATTCTGCATCTAGCATTCTCTCGGCTGTTTTACCAAACTCACGTTGGAACAGAAATTCCCCTCTGCATTACATGCCACTTTCACTTTGATTGATAGTCGGATTTTATGGCAGTGTCCAGACTGCATGCCACTTTCACTTCGTTGGATCTCTTGGTTTTATGGTACCGTCTGCACAGATTTATGGCTGTTTTATGGCCATTCAGGGGTGACACTGCAGTCAGTCCGGCCTTGGCCCGGGTTATTTGAATGTGGTTTTGATCCGCGTCTGTTCCAGTGTGGGTTTGGTAACATAATGGAGCGAATGCTACATGCAGAAGTGGCCAGGGCCTTCTCTGTGGAGGCACCTCAGTTGTGGAATTGTCCTCCCCAGTTGTGAAAAGCCACAACAGAGGTTCAGCTGGTTCAACTCTTGTTAACTTTTAGGCGCTAGGTAAAAAACATTTCTATGGCCCGGTCAGACGTGCCGGAAAATGCGCGCGGGGGGGAGTGCGGCTATTTGCGCCATCGCATTCTGATGTGCCATTATGCAATCAGACACGACGGTGGCTTCCCCGTGGCAAAGAGGATGACGGGGGAGAAAGCCACGCGCCGGCACAATCACACCCAGGGAGTCCGCATGCAGCCCGTGGCAAACCATTTGCCAGTAGGTCGTCCCAGGTACTTTTTTAATGCGCATCTTTGGCGGGACGCCACGGGTTCGCCACGGGTGTGCTACACCTCCCAGATGTTCCAGTGTGATCGTGCCCAGAAAATCCGCGGGTCGATCGTGCCTTCAGCGCAGCAAATGTTCTGTGTGAACGGGGCCAACTTGTTCAGGCTTTGAGTCAATAAATTGTCTTATGATTCCTCTGCTTTTGTTTATTGAGCTTAAAATTTTGCATTGGCTTCTCCTTGTTGAATCACACCCCATTTAATTCATCTGCTTCTGACTGATTTGACTGAGATTGCAATTTTTTAAAAAATTGCATTCATGTTGTAGCATATTACTTAGAATCATAGAATCATAGAGTTGGAAGGGGCCATACAGAACATCTAGTCCAACCCCCTGCCCAATGTAGGACCAGCCTAAAGCTTCAAACATCTTCTGGGCAACATGTGGCATAAACATCTTAAATACTTTTTTTTTAAAGTAGAAAAATAACTGCCTTAAAGAATTACCTCCTGCAGTCAATCTCTTTTGTGATTTCATTGGCAGAGAGTTAAATGTGTGCTCTTTTGAAACGGATAGGACTCAAAAAAGGCTGCGGTCACACACCCTAAATAATACACTTTCAACCCACTTTCCAGCAGTTTACACACTGTAAAATCCAGTTGGAAAGTGCAGTGAAAATGGACTGAAAGCAGATTATTTAGTGCGTGTGACCGCAGCCAAAGAGTATAATTTTAGCTAGGCCATACGCCATACTAAACAAAAGAAGCTGAGCAATATCTGATCATAATGATAATGCTGTTAATTTCCTAAATAACTGGAGGGCTATATTGACATGGGAAATTTGAAGGTCACAAAGAAGCATCAGAAGAGTCCTGCTGGATCAGGCGAATGGTCCATCTAAGTCACATGTTTCCAGCCTTTTTGAGCACCCATGGAATTCTGACACAGGGTGACGGACACAACCAGAAAATGGCTGCTGCAGGAGGCAGAGCCAACCACAAAACGGCAGGGAGTGAGGTTATGTATACCTCTAATAGTAACTCTGCAGCATTTCAGGCAGAGGCTCTCACGTCCACTTTCTAAAGGCACGTGGCAGGCACCAGGAAAGGTGTTGGCGGACACTATGTTAGGGACGCATGACCTAAGTCATCATCCCGTTTATTTGCCCGGTGGTCAGCCAGGTGTCTCCAGGAAGCTTGTGATCAGGCCAGGAGAGCAATAGGTCTCTCCTGCCAGAGGGGCACTGCCTCTCAGCAGGGAATGAGTCCAGTGGCCCCTTTAAGACCAACAAAATTGTATTCAAGGTATGAGGTGCGTGCACACAAAAGCTCATACCTTGAATAAAACTTTGTTGGTCTTAAAGGTGCCGCTGGACTCTAACCTTGTTCTGCTGCTTCAGGCCAACATGGCTGCCCCACCTGGATCTGCAAGTTTAATTTCCCCATCTTGTTTAATAGCCACTGGTGGACCTAACCTCCATTAATTTATCTAACAGGTGCGTGTGGAAAGATCCAGTGTACTGTAGTGGTTAGATGCAGGACTAAGATCTGGGAAACACAGGTCTGAATCCGCACTCTGCCATGGAAGCTCGTGGGTGACCTTGGGCCCAGTCACTCTCTCTCTCTCAATCTAACCTACCTTACAAGGTTGTTGTGAGGGTAAAGTGGAGGGGAAGAGAACAGTGTGGTAAGCGGCCATGGGTTCCCATCGGAGAGAAAGTCAGGTATTAATAAAGAATCACCTCTTAAAACCATCTTAGCAGAGATCCTGCATCAGCGAGTTCCATAACTGGGAACTGTGTAACTAAACCAAGCCAGAAGATGTCTATACCGGGCAGTGAAGGCCCGTGCAATTAAGAATGAATATATGTTGTCTTCCCTGTCCCCTACAAACATTGTTAGTCCCTTGTCTATATTGAGTAACTGTACATCGCTTTGAGCCCACTGGGGAAAGTGATTAATAAATGGAAAGTATTATTATTATTATTATTATTATTATTATTATTATAATAAATGAACGGTTTAAGTGAAGATGTGTCAGAGGGGTAGGTGGGATGCTAGAATCAAAAGTGTGACCTCATGAACATGTGAAGCTGCCTTATATTGAATCGGACCCCTGGTCCATCAAGGTCAGTATTGTCTAATCAGACTGGCAGTGGCTCTCCAAGGCCTCGGCTGAGGTCTTTCACATCACCTACTACCTGATCCTGTTAACTGGAGGTGCCAGGGACCTTGGAACCTTCCGCATGCCAAGCAGATGCTCTAGTTTTGGTCTGTGCTTAATCAACTGCCCATTAACTACACAAGGTTCCCCCAACCAAGATTTAGTATTATAGGAGCAGAGTGAGAAAAAAAAGTGCTGTCTATCCACCACTTCCACTCCAAGGATAATTTTATACACCCATGGGCCTTCCTCTTGGGAAATCATCACTGAGAAACCTGCCAACCTATTTTCTAATTCTGATCATACAGATAGCGAAATTCTGCGTTTTGGTTGTAAAAGCTCATCAGCGTTCAGGCAGCCATTTGGGTTAGGGCTGTTTGATTTTAATCTTATTAATTCTTTCACTCTCGTTATTTTACCCTTTTTAAGACTAAATTTTGTCCAACGTTACAATGTACTTTTACAATTCTACTTTTATTTAACCTTGTCTTATCTTAATGGATTTACCATCTGGATATTGTTGACATTGTAATTTATTTATATGGTAAATATTTGTAGGTATGGTTTTATATTGCTGGCTATGCGCTGTAATAATAAATTCATTCATACCTATAAAGCAAATTTCTTGATTCTCAAATCCTGCTTTGGGTCCATTAGAGAAAGCCAGAGTGGCACATTTAAAATTTTTTTTAATGAGAGTATCCATATTAAATAAAATGAAACAGAAACACTATACTCACAAACACATTTCACTCTAAAAATCACATTCGCCCCCTGCTGGTTTCGATTCAGTCTTGCAAATAAAAGAAAAGCGGGGGGGGGAGAAAAAGCAAAGAAACCCATTATTGCAAGGGTATCCCCACGTTTTAAACACACACACCTTCCGGCTTCCCAGCACACAATTTGCAACATTCTTAAAACTTGTAAGAGGACCCGAAATCTCAATATGATTCCACAGCAACTTTGATCTCCCCATCTCTCTGGGTGAGTTTAATAAATTCACTTCAAATGATTGAGAAAGCAGATTTGGAGGTCCCCGTTTGGGCGGGGCGGGAACAGAACGAAGGGGAAGTGGGCCGGGGGGGGGGGCAAGCCCCGCCCATCGGGGGCGGGGCTTGCTGGAGCCCGGCGCTTGAAAAGGAGCCCCCTGGGCTGCTGGAACCGCACACATCGGCTGGGTGGTCATCTGGACGCACTGTAGGTGAGCCGAGGTCGCCCTCCCGCTGTGGCGCTCTCCTGGCAGGTTTCCCTCCAGAGCTTTCTGCCGGGGCAGGCTGGTTGTTGGTGGAAGGAAGGGGCAGAAAACTGCAGGAGAACTTCTGGGTCTGTTGGTGTGGGCATCTAGAGAGATGGGGAGTGGGGGACTGGCTGATTGGCAAAAAGAAAAAGAAAACCCATTTCCTTTGGCTCCCTTGCAGGTCTACACGCATTTTGCAAAGGTCTCTTTCTAGAGGAAAGTGAAGGCAAGAGACTCCAGACATGGCATCTGAGGTGAGAAGAAGCTCCCCCCCCTCCTGTAGCAGTTTTGACTTGAGTCCTCCAGGGCTGCACTTCTTTTCCATTCATAATTTTCAGTTGAACAGTTCAGTTGTGTTGTTAGCAGACACTTAGGTGGTGCCTGTTGTGGTGAGTTTGGTGCTGAAGAGGGCAATTTTTCCATTGGTTGCTTGCCCCCAAGGGGTTTGCATTAAATGGATGGCATAGGGATGGGGAGAGATCGTGGTTGGGGGTGAGGGGGCTGGTTCCCAGTGATGGTCTAGGGAAGGGACTCGTGCGGGTTAATCTGTGGCAGGGGGTGTAGTATGTGGAATGCTGGCAAGTTTGGACAGCAGGCAGACATCCCCAACAACCTGTTGGGGGTTATAACTGTGTGACTAATACGAGCTACGCTCATTCATCGGAGACAGGAAAGGATGCTAGAATCAAATTCAGTAAAGCCCTGTTTGCAGTACGCTCTGCATCTGAGCTCCCACTAGAATCGGGCTGTCCACTGTTGGAGACAGTGTATTGGGCTGGGTGGATTTTTAGTCCGATCCAGCAAGTGACTTCCCCCCCCCCCCCCGAGGGAAAAAGGGGAGAAAAATCCCAGATTGCCTTTGTTACCTGACATTTGGTGCAGGTTATTTAGTTACTAGAGCTGTATCTTTCTAAAAAAAAACTCCTTGAGGAATTGAACCTGGTCATTTTTATGGTCGGGATAATGCCATCAGTGTCCATGACACTTTAGAGCAGAAAAAAGCCCCCCCCCAAGTCTCTGCCCCAAAGAATTTACAATCTAAAGGGGAGAGAACAGAAAAGTTGGTGTAACAAGGGAGAAATGTGTACAAATGTAATTAAGGATGCTTAGTTGCAGTGGGAAAAGAAGATTACCAAGGGCTTCTGGAATTCTGAGAGAGGATCTGAAGGAAAAGTTGGGCAAGTGAGGTCTTCTGGGCATAAGGGGCAGTGAAGGCAAACCGGCAGAGAGCAGGAGATGTGTGGGTAGCTATGGGCTACGGAGAAGCAAAAGTCACAGGTTGGGGAAATGCGCAAAAAGATAGGTCGGACAAGAAGATAGCAAATTTTCCAGGGAGGAGAAAGCGTTTTGGATGCAGAAGACTGGAAGCTGGCATACGGGTTTGGAGAGGTGTGCCATCTGGCCAGATCAACAGGAGAGGGAAATAAATAAAATTAGCAGTCAGCAGAAAACAGAGTATAAATATATGTATTTTACAAGTGTTTAGCCCATCTGTCACGTGGCAATTTCTCTATGAGCATTGCCTAGCCTGGATGAGAATGGAGCTAGCCTTCCCCTTGTATTTGAAACCTGTTCCATTCTCACAGGTGATGGTCTTAGCCGATGCGGCCTCTCGGATTAAAATGCACTCTCAGCATTATTCAGCAGAGAGGGAGGCAGCCTTAAAGCTGCTGCGGAGCCTTGCAAGGCTGAGCCAGAGCTATCTCCTGGCCAGCGACCTTTGACTTGCTCTGGAAGGGCCAGAGCATCACATGTGCTCTTCATATTTGCTCTGAGAAAGCCGAGGGATTGCCGTATCGCGGTCATGTGCTGGCAAAAGTACAACACGGAGTCCCTTGCGATCTCCCCACCCGGTGGTCCAAAGATTGATAATTGATAGGACCAAAGCAGTTGGCAGTGCAAGCCCATAGCATTCAAAGGATGTGAGTTGCAGGTCTGGGGTTGTATGAGTGGGGTAATGGTTGGAGCAGAGGTCCAGCACATTGCCCATGGATGCCATGATCTCCACTGACACCTTTCCTGGTGCTCATGAGGTGTTTTTAGATGGCGGGTGGGGCCAGGGAGGGATTTTTGTTCATCAAGGCTTCTAATTGGCCATTGATGATTTGACTGGCTGTGCAGAGTTTTAAAAAAGTTGCTTTGGCGGCAGCTACCCTAGCGCAAGGATTTTTACTGCCTGCCTGAAGGGAAGCTGTGGCAGCCATTTTATGTCTGGTTCCACCTCCCGCAGCAACAGCTCTTTTGTGACGGCCATTTTGTGGCTGCGCCCGCCACACAATTTCAGAATTCTAAAGTTGCCCACAGGTTCAAAAAAGTTGGGGACCCTTGGGTTTGAATGTCCAATTTGGATCCCAGAGACCTGGGTTCAAAGTCCCACTCTACTGTAAAAGCTCACCGGGTCACCTTCGGCCAGTTGGTCTCTCTCAGCGTAAGCTACTTCACAGGGTGATAGTTGTGAGGATAGGATAAAGGAGGGGAGAATAATGTTGTAAGCCAATTTGGGTCTCCACTAATAAGAAAAGCAGGGTTTAAATATCTAAATACTTCAGAATAAGTACCAGTTTTTTTGAGTTTGGGTGTTGATACAGAAATTGGCGCTCCATTGGAGCTGTGGACATGGATCTGTCCAGACTTCAGTATGGGAGTCCCAAATTAATTACATTTTTCTCAGCTGTCCGAACTGTGCTTCTGTCACCAGCACACTCACAATAAAAAATACCCTTCAGACAATTATACAGTTCTCCGTTTCCTTCAATGGGCCGCCATTTTGAAACCATCCTGGTTTCTGTAGGATACCAAAATGGCAGCCACAGAAAGAGGAGTCTGAGGCGTTTGGACTGCCTTGTTCAACTGTATGGAATGTTTCCTCTTATGCAGGGTGATAAACTGTACGGCGGGAGGCTTGTCGGAAGCTTGGACCCCATCATGGAGAAGCTGAATGCCTCAATCCTGGTTGATCAGCGCCTGGCGGAGGTTGATATCCGTGAAAGTATCGCTTATGCCAAGGTCTTGGAGAAGGCCGGGATTCTATCCAGGGCTGAACTGGACAAGATCATCAGTGGCCTAGAGAAGGTAGCTGTGAATGATTTGACTCTTTTCTTAAATGAAGTTGATGATTTAGCTTGCAAAGTGTTAGATGTTGCAAAAAATGTATGAGCACTTTGGGATGGTAGGAGCCCAGCAACGTCTACCCCCTGTTAGAAAGACCATCTTTCATATTTTCTTATCCAGTTTTGAATGAGTCAAAGGCCTCCCTCATGGGGAACGTGCTAATGCTAGGGTGACTTTGAAAACAAAACAAGTTCAAGTCCCATCAGCATTGTGGAAGATCCCATCTCTAAATATATACTAGCCTGGATCTCACCTGCTTTTCTCCATGTCTGTTATTAGTCTGGTTGGAGGGAGGGGGAATGGTAAATTTTAGGCTTTAGTTGATTGACCACCCCTTCATCTCTCACCCCTTGATTCTAAAAATGGTCTTGGGTTTGCATTTACAAGTATGATACAGGTGGTGGTGGGGATAATTGTTCAGTGTTGCTTGGGGGTCATAGAGTCAGACTTGTATTCGATCTGAGCAGCCTCTTTGGTTAGGTTAGACAATGGGCACGGAACAAAACTATTGTTAAGGGGAATCTGGGATCTGAGCATTAAGGCAGAATCCCAAATGGCTATTTTACTACATTCCAAAAATGGAAGAGAGGTAATATACAACCCTAAGCTGTAGTTGTGTGAATTGGCTTAATTACAGTGGCACAGGTGTTGAGGTCTTGGCAGAGAAGCTATACATTCATGGTTCAGGTTTCCTGTTGCTTAAAAAAACAAACCAGTGAGAGCTGTGATGAGCATAAGCTGTGATCTGGGAGGCCACTGGTTCCAATTTCTCCTCCGTCACAAACTCAGTTATACAGCCTGCTTGTTCCCAGCTTCGGTTTCTGACCTGCATAGAAGAATCCTACCTTCCGGCATTGTTTGAAAGATTGCAGCAATTAATATACGCAAAGTGCTTTGAACAGTGAAACCACCATTCAAAGGCTAAGTGTTGGGAATTTTCCCAGCTTGCGATATCCTTAACTCGCTAAGCAGATGGAGGTTTTTTTCTGGGTTTCTGCCAGGGAGATCAGTGCAAGTAGTTGACTCTTGCTGTTAAACACATGAATGGCTCTCTAACTGGGCCAGACATCGGGGAGGCCCGTTAATTGCTAACCCGCTGGTGTCTGTGTTTCTCTCACAGATTTCGGAAGAGTATTCCAAGGGCTCCCTCATGATTTCCAAAACCGATGAGGATATCCACACTACCATTGAACGCCGGCTCAAGGTTTGGCTTGTCTGCATAGCAACCCTAGACTTTCTTGGTGGTCTTCCAACCCAAAACCAACTAGGACTGGTGCTGCTTAGCTTGACAGACCTGATGAGATCTGACTAGCATGGGTCATAAGATCTGATGAGACCAGACTAGCATGGGCCATCCATGTCAGGGCTGGAATGCTCATGGATGCTCCAGTTGTTGTGGGGTAAAGGAAGAGGTCAGTAGTGGGATGCCCATGGTTAGTGTAGCTGCAGTGAGAAGCCAAAGGTTGGTTTGGGAGTGAAGGACAGAATGGATTCCTGGCTTGGGGGAGTATAGGGACTCAAAAAGAGGAGAAAAGTGAAGAACCTTCGAACCGGGCCAGAGAGGCCATCTGATGTGTTCAAACGTCGATATACATGGAACAACAGCGGAATTACTGGCTGAAAGAGCTCGAGTCTGGAATATCCAGAGAGGCTTATTAAGGATCTAGTCCTCATTATAGTCCTTGCTGAGGACAATTACTAAAGACCGCCCTCCTCTTTGACCAGCTGGCATTGTTTCAGTGGACTGTCCCTGGCAATTAAAGCAGCCATGTGACTGTCCCCAAAATCAGCTGCCTTTGCAGCTATTTATAGGGCCGCCAGCTCCAAGTTGGGAAATCTCTGGAGATTTTGGGGGTGGAGCCTGAGGAGGGCGGGGTTTGGGGAGGGGAGGGACTTCTGTGGGGTATAATGCCGTAGAGTCCACCTTCCAAAGCAGCCGCTTTCTCCAGGTGAACTGATCTCTGTTGCCTGGAGGTCGGTTGTAATAGTGGGAGATCTTCAGCCCCTGCCTGGAGGAAGGCAACCCTAACTAGTACGCTAACCCGGATGGATATTCTTCTGTTTCAGGAGATCATTGGCGATGTGGCCGGGAAGCTCCACACCGGACGCAGCAGAAATGACCAAGTAGGGAAACCGTGGATGGCTTTTTAGCTGCTTGGCCCTCCGTCTGCTTTGCTTGCTTTCCTGCTCTTTCATACTTGGCACTTCCCATGCAAAGGTAGTCAGAATTAGATGTGGCATCCTGGGAATTCTGCTTTTGAAAAAAAAGCAAGGCTCTAGTCCTTAAGGCTGTGAAGGTGGGTAGCACTCGGCGAAAATCCCAGAAGGAGGAGGGTCTCTAGGGATTGAGGCTTTGAGACCCTTTATAGGTCTTTTGCCATGGGGGATATGCAGCCCCTTGACTGAGACCCCAGTGGCCTTTTGCTCAAAGAATAAACTTGTGTACTTCCACAAATGCAGTATCCAATGTCCTAGTCCACAGGCATTCTGAATAAGACCCCCCCTTCAGCTCTTCTGCCTTGCTGCCCCACCCCCCCTTGTTTCTTCCAACGACATCGCTTGTGGAATACAGTGAGCTATTCGGTCTGTGCTGTGTAAGCTATTGAGTCTGTGCTAGGATTGATTGGGTGAGCCTCTCCTTTTTAAAAATGTGCTTTTATTTGGGGGCCACGTGTAACCAAACCCCCTTTTCTAAAGTTGCTGTCTACAGCTTATTCCCTGAGCCCTCTTTCCTCCTCCAGTGTATAACTACAGTTGAAAGACAAGCAAGCCTGGTGGTTAAGGAGCTTGTCTGCGTCTCTGAAGGTCAGGAGACCAAGTCCTGCTTGTTCTCACCTTGGACGGCTGCCTCCTGGCCACTCAGCAGTGAAGGGGTACCTGATCCGTGCCACGTTGCGCCTTATGTGTTTCCCCCCCATTCCTTCCCCACAGTCAGCTACCGAAGTCTTGAGCCTTTAAGCAGGAGAACTAACTAAAAAGCCAAAAGCACCATCCATGTAATACTGTTTTTTTAGGACCAGCCCAGTGACATGTCACAGTGTGCAAGCTTTCACATTCCCCAGAGCTCTTTCTCTGGGAGATGTAACAAAATGGAAGAACTAACAAGAGTCCATGGTTGCTATCGTTCAGAAGATCAGTATGGAAGTTTATGGCCCTGGTATCTTGAGAAGTTCGAGACCCGGGTGCCGCATGACGGAATGAGCTCCCATCTCTCGTTCCAGCTCCTGCCAACCTAGCAGTTCGAAAGCAAGAAATTGCAAGTAGATAAATAGGTACCACTTCGGTGGGAAGGTAACAGCGTTCCGTGCGCCTTGGTGTTTAGTCATGCCGGCCACATGACCACGGAAATGTCTTCGGACAGCGCTGGCTCTTTGGCTTTGAAACGGAGATGAGCACCGCAACCCTAGAGTCAGATTCGACTGGCTTTTGAGCAAGGGAACCTTTACCTTTATCTTGAGAAGACATGGCCCCCAGTTTGCAAGACTTGACCAATGCCAGGATGTCTTGGAGGCTATTAATTCATAAGGTTGCCAAAAGTTGGAAGCGGCTTGAGGGCACATGATGCACATCTTGAGAAAGGGGTCTTCAGTCTGTGATTCTGGGTTCCTGAAGGATCTGATGATTCTTAGGAGGTGTTCCTCATGAAATGAAGCAGAAAAGTCCCCCCCCCCTCACCCCAATAGTTCATTTCCTGTTTTTGAACTTTGCCTGTCATGTGCAGCCTCCAAAAGGCATTCACCAGCCGTCGGGCACCCTTCTCCTGCCCTCTCAAAGCAATTTTATGTGGCCCTCTGAAATTTTAATCCTGGTGTGGGGGTAAATGGTTTCCCCTGAGATTTTATTTGTAAGAAAACAGGGATTTCCTTTTTCATTCTGAGACCTAAGAGATGATCCACATCCCAGTGTTGTCTCTTTGTCTCTCCCTTTCTTGTTCTACGTGATACATGGAACTTAGCAATCGGCCCTATGTCTGAGCCTCGGTGCTCTTACTGGTGATGGTCTCAGATGGGGACAAAAGACCCACTGACCTGGGAAATTTCCACACACACCCCTGCCCAAATAGAGACGCCTGCTGTCCCTCTTCAGGGCCCTCTGTTCATGTTGAGTAGCAATGTTTGAGGACTGGGTTGCATCAAAAGTGTATTCTGGCACCTCTTGCCATGTGCAGAGGTTTCTCCGAGCAGACAGAATGGTGCTGAGTTTCTTGAGGGTCAGATGTTTCCATCAGGCCTCTGGACATCCATGCAGGGAAATGGTGGTGCCTGAGCACACATCTTCTGGGACCTCCTCCTTCCCCCCCCCCCGTAGAAATTTCTGTCAAAGCCAAGTTTTTGAGGAGTTTTCTACTTGGCCACAACAGGCTTTGAATCTGGAATTGGTAGATGCCGGTTTGTTAGTATTAGTTTCATTTTGTGTATCCCATCTCCCCTCCGAGGGTGGTGAGCCCATTTTCATTGTCCTCACAACAGTCCTGTGAGGTAGGTTTAGTGGACTTGCTAATCAGGGAGCTGAGCCATGGACGCCTTCAAAGGATATGATGGCATGCTTATCCAGTGCACTGATGGCTATGTGACAGGGTGCACCAGAGCCTGTGGTTGGCCTTTATGGGGAGGGAACAATGTGCCTTTAGCCAGCTGGGACAAGAGATGTTTAAAATAAATTTATGTTTTTTTAAAAAAAAAAAAAGAATTTCCTGACCCTCAGTGAAAGCATTCAAGAATCTCAAGCTTGTGCACCTTTTCACTGTTAAGAGTTTCACTGCACTCTTGCAAATAGGATGGGGGGTGGCATTTTGTAGAGGGGAACATAAAAATAATGTATTTTTCCCCCTAGTGGCACGGCCAGGGAACTGATCAATGTGCTCTTGAAGGTTGTCCCATATTGCAGGGAGGGGAGAACTGATGTTATCTGTCTGGCTGAGCTGTCCCTTGAATGCCGGTTTTGAAAAGGAGCCCAGCTTTCCCTTTTAACCCTGTTGGCGAGTTAAGAAACCGGTCGACTTCACTGATTAAAAAGAACTGTTCTTAACATCTGTTTGCCAAAAAGGCCAGGTCTCTGGCAGGTGAACATCTTGGGGCAGGCTTCCATTGGAAACTGCAGACAGTCAAGTCCTATATCTCTGTGTGCTCTCCTTGCAGGTGGTGACCGACTTGAGGATGCTGATGAAGAGCTCTATCTCCATGCTGTCCACCCACCTGCAACAGCTCATCCGCACTCTCCTGGAACGTGCCTCTGCGTAAGTCCGGGTCCATTCTTCTTGGTCCTGAGCACCATGTTGTTCCAGCTACCGGCCTACAGTCTCCCGATTCTCTTAAACCGCTTGAGTTCTCAGAGGCAGTATCCTGCTTCCCAAGTTCCCACAGTGGCCCACTAAATGTTGCAGGGAAGGCCACAAGCAGGGCAGGACAACGATGGAACTTTCCCACTGTTGCCCCCAGCAGTTGTGATTCAGAGGTATCCTTCCATGGCATGTGGAGGTTCTATTACTGACAGATCATGGTTAATGGTAAGAGCAGCCCTGCAATATTGGACCAGAGACCCATCTAGTTTCAGCATCCTGCTTCCAACAATGGCTAGCCAGATGCCCTAATTAGGCAACTTATAAGCAGGGCACAGAGGCCACAATTCTCCACTTGTTGTTTGTCTGATATATATATATATATATATATTTCAGCACACGGCGTCTACATTTAACTATGAGGACTAATAGCTTTTAGACTGAGATCTGTTAAGCCCTTTCTCTCCTCTGCCCCAGCTGACACTTAGATTGCAAGCTCCTTGCGGGAAGGGACCCATCTGTGTTCACTTATGAAACTGTCACGTCTTGTGTACCTTGAGGATGCTGTAGAAATGATGAACAACTATGACCCAGTGTAAATGTATACCTTTGGCACTCTCCTTTTGTTCCACTGCAGTGAAATCGATGTGATCTTTCCTGGCTACACTCACATGCAAAGGGCTCAGCCAATCAGATGGAGCCATTTCTTAGTCAGGTAACCAGTCCTCTACCCTAGTCCCTCCTTCCGTTTCTCAAAGCTCCGAGTCGGTCTGCATTTCCCAACAATACAAACTCACCTGTAGCAGCCTGCCATCTTAAAGGCAAGGCTGTCTCTGGGCATATGCAGAATTCCTGCACTACTAAATAAATTGAGTCAGTTTCCTATGCTTCTGGGATTAAAGAGATTGCTCCAGAACCAAGAGTTATAGTATCTGGGATGTCCGGGGTCTCTTCTCCCTCTTAGATGTTCAGGTTATTTTTCATACTTTCTTGATTCCTGACAGCCATGCAGTCGCTTTGACCAGGGATTCTGAGCGCCTGATGGAGGTGAAGAGAAGGATCAACGTCCTGCCACTGGGAAGGTAAAGATGGGTGTAGGGGAAGGCATTGCATGACCAGCTGGGACAAAAACCACTATTTGTTGCATCCAGGGAGTCTTAGAAACTTTCTTAGCTTTTCAGAGTAAGAACTTTGGGTTTAGTTGATTGAAACGAGCAGCTGTAAGCCATTGGCTCCTCAACTGAGGTGTTATGGAATGTTCATGAACATTCCAGATGCTCAAATGTAGAACAGGGAGACCAAACCTGGTAACACACTAGACCCACAGACGGAAGGTGCTGTTGGTGGGGCAGGAGAAGGCAGCATTGTTGCAGTGGTATGTGAGGAAGTGTTGTATGAAGGAGGGGCTGTGTATGTGAGTGTGAACAAGGAATGGCTATAGAGAAGGTAGTACAAAGGAGCAAAATCTGCACATTTTCATAGGTCTCATTTATAATACATAACTAGCAATTTGCTTCCCTTTAGCCAATGTTCTGGTTATTTGAAAGGTGTGGCCCCGGATTCTCTTGCAGCTTTGCAAAGGGTTCTGGGACCTTCCTCCAGACATGACAAACGAAGCTGGCTCGAGCAGCAGCAAAAGATTTTAGCAGCCTCCTGTCAGGGAATCCTAATTAACTTTTCTACCCAAAGAAAGAAACCCCTTTTTATGCCAGTGTAGTGTAGAGGTTAGATTGTGAGACTCGGAACTGGAAGACCTGGCTTCAGATCCCCACACTGCCATGGAAACATGCTGGGCCTAACCTACCTCACAAGATTGTTGTGAGGACAAAATAGAGTAATGAGATTCCTGTACACTGCCCTGAGCTCCTTGGAAGAAGAATGGGCTAAAAAGTACTAGACAAACTGATAGATCGAAGAGAGTTAGAACGCGCAACGGTTCTTTTTTGCAGGAAGGAATCTTAACATATCCATTTGTCTTTATTGCAGTGGTGCTTTGGCAGGTAACCCCCTGAACCTTGACCGTGAATTTCTCCGTAAAGGTAAGCTCCAGGCTTCAGAAACCCCAATCTGGGAGGTGAAGGAGGGAATGAGCAGGTTGCCAGAACAGAAGCAGGGTCTCGATTTAGACTGTTGCTTGTGCCTCCTTGATAGGGGAGGGTCCATGGAAGGTCTCTGGTATGGCTCAGCGGAAGAGCATCTGCTTAGCATGCGGAAGGTCTCAGGTTCAATCCCTGGCATTGCCAGTTCAAAGGATCAGGGAGAAGGAGATGGGAAAGACCTCTATCTCAGACTTGAGAGAGCCACTGCCAGTTGCAGTAGCCAGTACTGGCCTTGAAACACCTGTGGTCTGACAGTGTAGGTGACTGGAATAGATCTTTCTCTGCCTGAGGGTGTGGACTATATCTGCCAGTCCTATGGCCCTTGGTCACCCTGCCTCCTTCAGCATTCATCTGGAAGCAACTGAAAAGCAACCTGATGGAGGGCTCTGTCTTCTCTCTCTCTTGCCTTTCCCCGTCCAGATGCAATTGCTTACATGTTCTTCACGTGTTTGTTTTCTGTTTTGTATTCTCAGAACTGGACTTCTCTTCGATCAGCATCAACAGCATGGATGCCGTTAGCGACCGGGACTTTGTGGGTAGGTGCATTGTTCCAGAGTTCCCTTAAGGCAGATTTTGGAGGCGGATGGCAGGAGTGTTTGCTGAGCACTCAGATGTCCCCTCTGGTCATTGAAAACTGAGGGTGCAAAAAAAGAAGAAGACAGACCCCCCCCCCCTTAATTTTTCCCCTTCTTCTTCCCAGTGGAGTTTTTGTCTACTGCTTCCCTGATCATGATCCATCTGAGCCGTTTGTCAGAAGATTTGATCATATATAACACTAAAGAGTTCGGATTCATCACCCTCTCGGATTCTTACTGGTAATTCGTCTCTTGCGATCTGGTTCTGTTGCTTGGTGTGCCTGTTGCAGGGATTTCCTTGGAAATGTATTTGGGGCTCCTCCAAGAGGTCAGTATCAGCAGATGAGTTTCCCTGGAGGACAGTTAATCCACCCACTTCCGATCATCACATTCAGTGCACCTTTGCAGGGTTGCACTGGGCACACTCTCTGTGCTCTTCCTGGGCTCACTATGTTGCCATGGAACATGCTCCCGAATCCCCTGCAATGCTTGGGGGTCCCATGGCAAGTATACACTGCGGGGGGTGTCCTTGAAGTTACAAAGTTAGAACATTATTGGCTAATGTTCCGGAACACCCAGCATTTTATAGCTGCACCCACCACACTGGGTCAGAATTCCAAAGGGGCCCGCGGGCTCAGAAAGGTTGGGGACTCCTGGAATAAGCACCAAGAGGAGGGTATCAAACAGCAGGTGATCCAAGAGGTGAATCCCAGAATCCTTTGCGACAAAGTGGAGGATGCTGGGGCACAAACTGTGGGCAGGGCAAGCGCTTGGTATGGCAGAATGTCTCTGCAGCGGCAGCCATTTTCCATGCCCTTCGGAACTGGCAATCTGGGCAGGGAGGAGCCCTAATGGGGCTTGCTTTGATTTTAAAAGCACCGGAAGCAGCCTGATGCCCCAGAAGAAGAACCCGGACAGCCTCGAACTGATCCGCAGCAAGGCCGGCCGCGTGTTTGGAAGGGTGAGTGCTTATACCAAATCAGACCCTTATCCGTGTTGTCCACTCAGACTGGCGACGGCTCTCCCGGCTCTCAGGCAGAGATCTTCCACAGCACCTCTTGCCCGGTCCTTTTAACTAGAGATGCCAGGGCTTGAACCTGGGACCTTCCATGTGTGAAGCGGGCACCTTTACCACTGAGCCACAGCCCCTCCCGTTTCCAGGAGGAGGCTAGAGGCGTAATGGGAGAGAACCAGGGACTGGCTGGTTCTGAAATGGCTGGTAACAGGTGTTTTAAGAGGCAAGGTGGGGGGAGGGGGGAGAAGAGAGCAAGCAGGAGACGAAGACGAGGCCACAACAGGAGTCTTGGGCAAGCCTCAGTGGGTCAGTTATGTGTAGGGATGCTCTGACCTGGATAACGTAGGCTTGCTCTCGTCAGATCTCGGAAGCCAAGCAGGGCTGGCCCTGATGAGTGCTTGGATGAGAGACCTCCGAGGAATACCAGGGTCACGGCATGGAGGCAGGCAGTGGTCTCCTACCTTGAAAACTGCGCGGGATTGCTATAAGTCAACTGTGACTTTCCACCACCATGTGAAGGGACGGGGGACCACGACCCTTGAAGAGTCAGTTCCCTTGAATGTGTTCCTCTCTCTCTGTGTTGGGTATTTGGCTCCTCACCTGCTTTCAACCCTTCCCTTGCAGACTACTGGACTCTTCATGGTTCTGAAAGGACTTCCCAGTGCTTACAACAAGGACTTGCAGGTAAAAATACTGGGGGGGATGGAGGGGTGTCTTCTAGTCTTGAGCCAAGTCCCAGTTATAAACCCTGGGCAAAATGGCTGCCTCCTGGCATGTTCAGCTAGCCGGGGGCTGTCCAGGTAGGCTTGGGCCAAGAAAGGAGGACACTGGAGATCTGTGGAACTTTGCCACAAGAGGGGCATGATGGGTGTCGGGAACTCCAGGCCACAGGAGTACTTCGCTCAGGAGGCTTTGAATCTGCCGCTTGGCGTGGGGTTTGATTGGGGGAGGAGCTGGGAGGCTTTGACCCGGCAAATGGCAACAGCAGGTTTCTGTAGAAGCCTCTTAGCTGGTGAACCAGATTTCTGTCTCTATGACACACTGCCCTCAAGATGTCGGGATGGACAATCCTGCCACAGCAGCTTGTCTGTACTAGGTGGCATAGAAGTATCTTGGGGGCGGGGTAGACTAGGGTTTGCATTCCAACCTTTCCAATTTGGCTGAGTGTCTTTGAGCAAGTATCATGTCCATCGGAGCCCTCCTGTTAACACACACAGATGCATTGAGGAGAGGTCTGTGGGTGGCTAAATGGAACCTCCTGATTCAGAGGGGCACAAACGTGGGGTAATCATCCCCTTAGCACCCTAGCGGAGGCCTTCTCAGAAGCATCTGGCTAGCGACTGTTGAGAGCTGAAGGCTGCCTTAGATGGGATCCGGAAACTTCTCTTGTAACTCTATTGTTATTTTTTATCTCTCGACCAACAGGAAGATAAGGAAGCTGTGATCGATGTCATCGACACCCTGAATGCTGTGCTCCAGGTGACCACCGGCGTGATCTCCACTCTCCAGGTGAGCATTCCAGAGGGGCTGTCCCAGTGCGAGAGGCAACATCTGTCTGAATCCTGCATGTTTCCCCCAGGTGCCGAAGGGCCTGCTTTGGGAGCACAAGGCTGGCAACGGGTTCAGCGAACCCTTTGGCTTTTAAAACCCGCTGTGCTAAAAAACAAAAGTCTAACTTTGTGTGTGTGGCTCAGGATGGAGGGGGAGGGCTGCCCCAAATGGGCCGTTCTGTTGTCCTTCTCTCATGGCCTCTGCTCGTCTCCGTTGATGCTCACAAGACTAACTGAATCCTCTTCCAGATCAACAAGGATGCTATGGAGAGGGCCCTCAGCTCTGACATGCTTGCTACGGACCTTGCCAACTACCTGGTCCGCAAAGGGGTGAGTATCCAAAGACTAGGCAGGAGGGAAGGGAGTTAGAAGTGCTGGTGGAGCACCCTAAGGTGGCCACTTTCTTCTGCATTCCTGTTTATCTGCTGCTTGCACCCTGCTTCACTAAATGTACTAATTATGGGAAAGGGTTGCGGCTCAGTGGCAAAACACTTGCTTTGCACACAGAAGCTTCCAGATTTGATCTCTGGCAGCATCTCCAGGCAAAGGATCTCAGATAGCCTTCTTTAGCTTAGAGAGCTGCAGCCAAGACCATACTGTTCTGACACCAGATAAGACAGTTCCATGTGGCACAGCCGTTCACCTGTAGTATGAATCTAAACTTGAGTGTGGAGTTCACAAAGAAGGAATCCTGGGACTTGTAGTTCCTGGAAAGGGCAATCGATTCAAACATTTGATAGTTTCTTCCAGCATAAAAATTGCATTGAGGATCCCCTGATGGGCTGAGGGCAGGGGTGAGACAGAGTGATTTCCTCGGTCCCCTCCACCACTTCTCATTCTGCGTCCTTCTAATTTCAGATGCCATTTAGACAAGCCCACATGGCCGTCGGAAAAGCAGTCCACTTAGCCGAGAGCAAGGGAGTGACCCTTAATCATCTATCCACTGAGGACTTCAAGAGCATCACGTATGTATTGCACTTCTAAATTTGTCTAGTTTTCCTGGACTCCTTAACAGCATCCCTGAGAAATTTTGCTTGAATTTAAAAACCAGAAACCAAGTTTCTAGCCCCTGTGGCTTTGGGGATTATAATTACTCAAATTTTCAACACTGCTTATGCCGTCTCAACTGCCCTAACAGCTGCCTTCTGAGAAAGGCCCTGGGATTTGGGGCACAGTTGGATGGCACATGATACAGCTGCTAAGCAAGTTTGGGTCCGGTCCAGTGTCAGGAATGGAGACTCGGTGCCAGGGGTACATCTTTGAGCCCTGTGATGAAGGGCAGAGCTTTTATTTATAGTCCGTCTTTGAGTCTCAAGGCAGATTATAAAAATTTTAGAACAATGCAGTAAAAACAGTATAAATACATATAAAGCAACAAGGGTGGTTCTCAAAAAATTAGAAAAACAATGCAATTAAAACATAGATGATATAAATAAAAATCCTGTTTTGCAGAATTGGGGGTGGGGTGGTGTTCCAGTATAAAATTGGCACCCATTTAACAGCCAAGGAAACTACCCAAAAGTACTGAGTATTATATTTAAAAGGAACATTGCCATCGTTCTGGAAGGGGTGTGGAGGAGGCAGTTGGAGGAATCCTATAGGACAGTGACCTTCCCTAATGTCTCCCCATCCCACTATAGCCAAAGTTCCAACTTTCTTATTATAAATGAGAGCCTCAGTCTATAGTCATCATGGCCCACATTCTATTTCTTGGTCACCCAAAAAATGTGACCAACAGATGGACGTCAATCACTTGCTTTGATTTTTTTTCTTTTTTTAATTAGTTTTTTTTAGAGTTCTCTGTATGTGCACCTTTCCCTGATTTTTCCCCTCTTTTTTCCCCTTGGTCCCGTTCTCTCCTCCAGCCCCATGATGGGAAGCGACATCTCCCAGGTCTTCAACCACCAACACAGCGTGGAGCAATACACCTCCCCCGGAGGCACGGCCAAGAGCAGCGTGACCACCCAGATCGAGCAAGTGAAGGAGATGCTCAAGAGACAGAAGGAATAAAGTTTTGCGTGTGGGGAAGCTATCCCAGTGCTGCGGGTTTCTGCTTGTCGCGTTTAAGCCCGAGTTACTAATAAATACAGTGGTGTATTGGATTTCACTGAGGAAAAGAAAAGCAAATCTTGTTGTGTGGTTTTTTTTCCTGGATATGTTTGCCCTCCGAGTAAGAGACGGGAGCGTTCCAACAGCTAGCCTTGGGTTCAGTCTCACACAGGCCCGTAGCTACGGTGGGGCATCTCGGGGCTAGGCCCCCCGCACTTACTGGTAAGGCCCCACGACTTCCCATCCAGCCCAGGGCCCCTGAGCACTGTCAGTTGTGGGGAAGGAGCCAGGTATTCCTTTAATTCGATTATCCAGTGCCCCCTAAGAGATTTAAATGTCCCCCGACTTAAAAAATCCTAGCTACAGGCCTGGTCTCACACACTGAGTGTCATGCCTGCCCCCGATCTGGCACCTGGGAGCTCTGAAACAGAGGGCTCCGTGCCTTTAACATCATCAGAGGCACGAGAGTCCTTGCCAAACCTAAGTGCCAGAGAGGATGAATACCAAACCCCAGGACAGCTTGCACCTGAAGCCGATCAGGCAGTGCCTGGCCCCAGCAGTACGCCACCCGATTCTCCGCCACCTGTCAACAGACGCAAGGAGGTTCTAACAGAATCAAGGACTTTGCAAGTCAGTGCTAATGAGTTAACGACCCAGCACACTATTTGAACAGGTCACTGACTGCTGGCAAAGCGTGCTGGCAAACTAGTCCTTCTGGACCAGAAGCTCTGCACCTCTGACGCTGTTCCTGAGATCCCGTACTGACTGACTTCCCAGTTCCTGAATCCAGTCCGCGTTTTGACGACTCTCTGGCTCTTGATCCTCGGCTCTGCACCCTGACATTCGACACTCGCTTCTCTGGACTCTGACCCTTGGTAACCCTCTGACTACGGCTTGGCTTTGTGTTTGGGGGCGCTGGCTCTGCTTGTTTTTGATCTTTCTGGCTTTGACTCAGGGACTGAACTGTAAACTCTCCCTCTCTGCCCGGCCCCCTGGCTCTGTCGTGACACTGAGGTCCTACTCCTGGTTTTGTAAACCCTTCCTACGGTTTAACTCCCAGACACAATTATTGTAGTGGTGGGAAGCGCCATCAAGTTGCAGGGACCCCTTGTGGGGGTTTCAGGCAAGAGAGTAACAGTGGCCGTTTGCCACTGCCTGCCCCTACACAGCAACCCTGAACTTCCTTTGCTATCTCCCATCCTGGTACTAACCAGCCAACCCTGCTTAGCTTCCAAGATCAGGCTCCCCTGCGCCATCCAGGTCAGAACAATCATTTAACGAGCAGGTTACATGGACAGTATAGTATGTCTACGTCTGGGGGTGTGGCTCGGAGGTAGAGCATCTGCTCTGCATGCAGAACGGGACTACACAAGGGTGGCCTTTACAGATGCATCCCTCAAGTCCTGGAGGAAGGAACCTAGTCCTGGGCTTCTCACAGCATCCCTGAGCTGGAATTTAAAATACAGAACCACAAGCACCATCTTAGAACAATATATCCAGTGGAATTGTGGATGTAGACAGGAGGACGATGCCTAGCAACTTGAATTGAACTAGACTTGATTTTCATTGACTGTATACAACACAGCAAGGAAAAGTAGGTGGATTGAAATTCAGAGGTGATGCAAATAGAGTCTGTAGATAAATGCAGAATTACAAAAAAGAAAAAGATTTTGGGGGAGCAAATCCTAATTGTACGCAGAATCAAAAAGACACTCAGGGAAATAAGCAAAACCTAGTGGAAGCCATCCTGATGACGCTAGAAGCACCCTCTCATGGATTAGCGTTACAGCCGAGAACCCTCCTGTGTTTGTTACTCCTGTACGGTGGGCCCAGAGGGGAAAATTAGGAGCAGATGGAGGAGGACAGCTGGGAAGCAGGATCAGAGTGTTCTCCGGGCAGGATCCAGGGAAGGGAACTGCGATGGAAAGCAGGGAGGCTGTGCTTAAGAAGGAAAGGTTGGAGAGTAGAGGAGGCAATTTGGTGACAGCCGGTTTGGTGTAGTGGTTAGGAGCGCGGACTCTTAATCTGGGAGAACCAGGTTTGATTCCCCACTTCTCCACATGCAGCTTCTGGTGTGACCCTGGGTTAGACACAAGTTCTCTCAGAGCTGTTCTCTCAGCCCCACCTACCTCACAGGGTGTCTGTTGTGGGGAGGGGAAGGGAAAGGGATTGTAAACCGCTCTGAGGTGCCTTCGGGTAGTGAAGGGTGGGGTATAAATCCAATCTCTTCGATTTCAAGGCAGAAAGTTGCACACATTGCCTAATCCTCAATCGTGAACGTAGCCACAGTGTTCCAAAGAGCCAAGGGAACAACCCAGGAAGAAATATCCGAAACTCCAGTGATGGAGGAGCAATCCTGGGAGTGGCACTGAGCCTCATTTGCTAGCGTGAGGGTGCCCTGCGAACTGAAGGTTGTCAGTCACCATCAGGGCACGATGCCTCATAAACAACCACTGCTGTTTATTTTAGTTGTCCCCCTAGTGAAGACCAGGCCAGGGATCTGAACAAAAGACGGGTTTGACTACTGTTGTGAACGTGGTCCTCAAGATCTTCTGAATCTGTAATATATAGTGTATCAAGCAGATGAGGCTTTACAGAAGACTGAGGAAGAAAAGTCCTGGCTTCAGTCTCTCAAGCAAGCAAAGCAAGGCAGGATGGCGGGAACTATCTAGGGAAAGGGGATCTTGAAAGGGTTGCCAGCTCAGGGTTGGGAGAATCCTGGAGGTGGGGAGGGCAGGGTTTGAGGGATCTCAGTGGGGCATAATGCCACAGAGTCCACCCTGCAAAGCAGCCATTTCCTCCAGGGGAACTAATCTCTGTCCTCTGGAGATCAGTTGTAATACTAGGAGATCTCCAGGCCCCACCTTGGCAGCAGTGTTCCCTCTAAGATGAGTTAGTGTGAGCTAGCTCACAGTTTTTTAGCCTCTGGCTCACACATTTTTGTCTCGGCTCAGGAAGGGATGGCTCCAGAGCAAGCTAATTTATGGAGTAGCCAAATAGCTCACTCACAACTTTGAAGAAGAGATTGGATTTATACCCCACCCTTCACTTGGAGTCTCAGAGCGGCTTACAAACTCCTTTCCCTTCCCCTCCCCACAACAGACACCCTGTGAGGTGGGTGGGGCTGAGAGAACTCTGACACAAACTGCTCTTTTTCAAGGACAGCTATGCCAGAGCTTGTGACTGACCCAAGGTCACATCTGCAGGTTCAAGTGGAGGAGTGGGGAATCAAACCTGGTTCTCCCAGATTAGAGTCCGCACACTTAACCACTACACCAAACTTTAATGCTAGTAGCTCACAAAGTAGAATTTTTTGCTCACAAGACTCCACAGCTTGGAGGGAGCATTGCTTGGCTGCCCTAGATTTTAAGGTGGCTGGGGTGGTAGACCCAGGGGAATGTTGTACTCTCAGATGAGAACAACAAAGATCCAGGCTCATTCCTCACACAACCAGGAAGTTCCCTTTGTGACCTAGAGCCTTGGGCTGGTCCCTTTCTTGCAGCATAGTCTACCTCACAGAGCTGTTGTGCAGAACAAGACAGCAGAACCATGCACAAACGTCGCCTAGGACTCCTTGGAGGAAAGGCTGGAGAAAAACGTGCTCTGCCCAGAAACTTTGCTTAGCACAATATTAGGTGACAACTGTTGGGTACTACAGAAGTGGTGTTGAGAAGCGTTGTCAAGTCACAGCCAACTCATGACAAACTTGAAGGGTTTTTAAGGCAAGAGACGAATAGACGTGGTTTGCCATTGCCTGCCTCTGCATAGCTGCCCTGGACTTCCTTGAGTGGTGGTCTCCCACTCAACTGCTAACCAGGGCAGACCCTGCTTAGCTTCTGAGATCTGACAAGAGCAGGCTACCCTGCTCCATCTACAAAAGGGCATTAGTCATCTGAACAGCTGTAAAGCACCCTGTCGACACCTCTCAGCAATGGATTTGACACACAGAGGACATAACAAGAGCACCTGGAAAAAAGACCTCTGAGCATATGGAGAATGCCTTTGCCATTCTGTAGAGGTAAAACCTGCAGGTTGTGGGATAAAACAGTCCTGGGTTTGGACATTCAGCTCACAGGTGTTTGTATCTAACGAGAAGATATGGTTGGGTGGGAAAGGAATCACAAGCTGGATATAAATATAAAAATGACGACTTTGCCCAGGCAGGTACATGCAAAAATATACGCTACAGTTATAAAATGATAAACATAGCAATACTTAGAAGTTAACTAGGAAAAATGCAAAGAAGTGCATAAACACACATTCCCCAAATTAGCTTTAACATAATTCCTACTGAGATTCAATAACATCTTGAACTTATTTGGAAAAGTTACAAAATTCATAGCTATATTTCTTCCAGAAGGAGGAGAAGAACAGGGATGTTAACATAAGTTCCAATACCTGGATAAGCCCTTGGAGTGGCCAGGATAAAGTGTGTGTGTGTGTGTGTGTGTGCGCATGCGCACGCACACACACAACAAATGATGGCAACTCTGGCCACACAATTGACCCTATCCACGTGGTTCTTTTCTCTATACATGACTATGGCAGTATGGGACGAAGCCATGGAAAATGCTGCCCCCAGAGGTCATTTCGGGGGGGATCGCGGGGGATCGCAGTTCCCCCGGGTGAGGTACGGGGGGGGGGCACATGACGAAGCCCCGCCCCCTGCTTCTGGCCACCCCGCTTCCAGCCCTCATTCAGCCAGGAGGAGGCAGGAGAAGAGGGAGGGTAAGTTGCTTCCTCCCTGCCTCTCCCCACCCCTGCCTGCCTGGGGCCAGGGAGGGCCTTCGCGGGGCTTCCTTGCACTCCCGCCGGCCTTGCAGGTCCACCGCCGGGCCCCTCATGGGGCTCGGCGGAGTCGGCCAGGACCATTGGGGGCGGGGGGTGTGGCCTTATGACACACTTCCGGTGGTGTCAGGGGGTGTGGCATATGCTAATGAGTTATGCTAATGAGTTCCCCTAGCTCTTTTTCTACGAAACGACCCCTGGCTGCCCCTAGAATAAATGTATAAGTATAATGATTTGACAGTGTATTTGATATCACCAAAAGGAATACCATAAGAACATAAGAGCCCTGCTGGATCAGACCAATAGTCCATCTAGTCCAGCATCCTGTCTCACAATGGCCAACCAGTTCCTCTGGATGGCCAAAAACAGGGAACAGAGGCCAAGGACTTCCCGATGTTGCCTCCTGAGTCCTGGTTCTGCAGTTCAGAGGTTCAGTGCCTCTGAACGTGGAAGTTCCCCAGCCACCATGGCTAGTAGCTACTGATAGCCCTATCCTCCATGAATCTAGCTAATCCCCTTTTGTTTATTCCTGTAGCCATCCCTATAAAGTTCTCACACCTCTTCTAAATGGACTAGGATTTTAAATAACAGATTAGAGGCAAAATAAGAGGTTGCAGCCTTATATAACAATCATGTGTTCAGTCCTTCACTGGAAACGAGCCATTTATTATTTAAAACAGTTTGTTTGAAATATTTATATCCTCCGCCTTTCTTCCTTACGGAGCTCAAGGCAGCTTGTTGTTGTTCAGTCGCACAGTTGAGTCCGACTCTTCGCGACCCCATGGACCAGATCACGCCAGGCCTTCCAGTCTTCCGCCATCCTCTGAAGTTTGCTCAACTTCATGTTCGTTGCATCGATGACACTGTCTAACCATCTCCTCCTTTGCCGTCCCCGTCTTCTTTGACCTTCAATCTTTCCCAGCATCAGGGTCTTCTCCAGTGAGTGCTTCCTTCTCATTTGGTGGCCAAAGTATTTGAGCTTCAGGCAGCTTACAATATAGATAAAATACACAAAGTAGAATACATAAAAAAATAAAAACCAGACCGTAAAATCACCATTTAGTACGGCTAGTCAACTTCATCAAATGCGGTCCTAAAGAAAACAGTTTCCAACTGCCTCCTAATGAATGAAAGAGTGGGGAGGGGGGGGCTTGGGGCACACACCTCGCTGGAGAGGTTGTTCATTATTTTGCGCGCACCAGGAATCTGGAACTTTGATCGGGCCCATGAAAAGTCCAGAGTCAGACTGCGTGCAATTTAACGGCGGCAGATCTGTAAAATGCAACTTCAGCAAACTTCGCCAATCCCTTGCAAATCTCCGGCATGCCCTTAAGCAAGATGGCGGAGGTTGCCTTCTGAAACCCGGGAAGGAGGGGCGGGGGGAGGGGAAAATGCGTTGGTAAGCCTGTGATTGGCCCTTGAGAGTCAGCTGGGCTAAGGATCAGCGGATCTCCTCTCTGCGCGCTCAGAGCGCTGGCTGAGCGGTGCCGCCGAGCATGGCTTGCCTGGCGGGTGCCCTGTGCCTGGTCCTGGGATGGCGTCTGGCTCTCGCCCTGGAAGGAGGGATGCTCTATCCCCGGGAATCACCGTCCAGGGAGCTGAAGGACCTCAGTGGTCTCTGGAGCTTCCGAGTCGACTGGTCCGAGCAAAGGGACGCGGGGTTTGTGCAGCAGTGGTACCGGCAGCCTCTACGGCAGGTGAGTGGGCAGGGGTGGCAGAGATGGCAGGTCTCCTGGCTGGCAGAAAGAGGGGCTGCTTTGTGGCAGGTTAGCCATGGTGTCCCCCTTCCCAAGGAACTGCAATCTGCACATGCCCCAGTGCGCTCTCCTCTCTCTTTCTGCCTAGTGTGTTCCAGAGATGAGCAAAGAGTTCAGATTCAGTGCAGAGGTATCCTGCCTCTGTACATGGAGATTCCGTTTTGTTATGCTAGCTAATAGACACTGCTAGACCTTTGGGTCCAATCACTGGGCCATTGCCACACCAAGCCTCAGTTGTGACTAACTCCTTTACTCGGGATGGGTGCTGTGCATGTAATCTGTGGCACACTGTCCTTGATTAGTTCTGTTTATTACATTTGCATCCACTGCTCCCTCCAGGGAGCTAACAGCAGCGCTTGTGGTTCTCCCGTCTGTCTCCATTTTATCCTGACAACAACCCTGGAAGGTAGTTTAGGCTGCAAGAGCGTAACTAGCCCAAGAGCATACAGTGAGCTTCGTGGCAGTGGGGAGAGGCCAGGGGGATTTAAACCTGGGTCTCTGAAAGCGATGGCGAACCTAAACAGCATGATAAAAAGTAGAGAGATCACCCTGCCAACAAAAGTCCGCATGGTCAAAGCAATGGTATTCCCAGTAGTCATGTATGGCTGCGAGAGTTGGACTATAAGGAAGGCCGAGCGCCGAAGAATAGATTCTTTTGAACTATGGTGCTGGAGAAGACTCTTGAGAGTCCCTTGGACTGCAAGAAGATTAAAAGAAATCAACGCTGACTGTTCCCTGGAAGGCCAGATAATGAAACTGAAGCTCAAATACTTTGGCCACCAAATGAGAAGGGAGCACTCACTGGAGAAGACCCTGATGCTGGGAAAGGTTGAAGGTCAAAGAAGACGGGGATGGCAAAGGATGAGATGGTTGGACAGTGTCATAGATGCAACAAACATGAAGTTGAGCAAACTTCAGAGGACGGCGGAAGACCGGAAGGCCTGGCGTGATCTGGTCCATGGGGTCGCGAAGAGTCTGACTCGACTGTGTGACTGAACAACTGAGCACTGTACTGCACTAGTTTCTGTTTTATGTTTCATTGTTGAGCCTTGGCATTATTTGAAGTGGGTTCTGGGCATCAGCCGAGATTGGTCCCACAAAAAGACTAGTCCATTGTCAGGGGGTGAGGCTTAAAAAGGACAAGGAGTGGTATAATGGGCTGCCCCCCAAAAAAAACCTTAAATCTTGCACGTCCAGTTTTCTCAGCCATGTTCTTCTTAAGAACTTCGAAAGAACCCTGCTGGAGGAGACCAAGGCTGTGATCACACACACTAAATAATCTAGTTTCAATCCACTTTTGTTGCACTTTCCAACTGGATTTTACTGTGTGAACTGGCAACATCCAGTTGGAAAGTGCATTGGAAGTGGATTAATTAGTGTGTGTGATCGCAGCCCAAAAGGTCCATCTGGGAAGTCCACAAGAAGGGCATGAAGGGAATAACCCTTCCCTGTTCACCTTCAGCATCTGATATTCAAAGGTATTGCTGTTTCTTGTCTTTGACAAATATTACTACCCCTGGAAAGGGACCCTTGGGATCTTGGCTGTTGCTAAATTCCTTCTGGGCAAGCCAGGACTGGAAACTGCAAATTGCTCTTTCCTGCAGTTGTACTGGAAAGAGGAAGCTAAGTAGTTCAGGGGGTTCTGTGGAGCAGAAAAAACGGAACTGTGTAAGTTGAAAGCTGTGGAAATTTTTGCTTCTCCAAAAAGAAAGGAACACCCTCATATGCCTGTGAGTCAAGACCCAGAAAAAGAAGTCAAGGGGAAAAAATTGCAAGAAGGGCTATTACTTCCAGTGAGTTTATTGTAATGCAGAGTTATAATTTTTTAAAAAAATCAGTGTGTTAGAATACCATCAAGTTTATAGCTCTCTGCCATTGACATTTGAAGCTTTGGGTGGGCTCCAATCAGTGTTAAGGAATGTCAATAGACTGCAAAATCAAACTTCCTTTTTGTCGGGCTGTGGCAAAGGCCTGTTGCCCGGCACTTGCAGTGTGTGACCTCGAATAACTACTTGGCATCACAAAGTTGAAGTGCTCTTTTGTAATCCTGTGTCAGCCTGCTGCTAAAGGCACAGGAGCACCGCCAGGAAAAAAAAAGCTGGCAAACCTGTGTGATTTGAGGCAACTGTCCTAGTGAGAGACCCTTGCTTTGGAGAAGCAGATCAGTGCAAAGTTAGCCAGAGCGGAGGAGCGGCTCCAACCTAACATATGTCTTTTCCTTTCAGTCCGGGCCAGTGATGGACATGCCGGTCCCCGCCAGCTTCAACGAGATCACTCAGGATCCCAGTCTGCGGAAGTACGTCGGCTGGGCTTGGTACGAGAAGGAGGTGCTCCCGCCTGCCCGCTGGCTCCAGGAGGAGGCTGGGACACGCGTGGTGCTCCGGGTTGGCAGCGCGCACTACTACTCCATTGTGGTGAGTCCACGGGAAACATTTCCGCTCACCAAAATCGGCATACCTGCTTCGGCTTCTGGAGGGGGGGGGTCTAGGCTAAGATGCCCTCCAGTGCCCACCCACTAAGGGTGCAGCCCCCTTGCGTGTGTCCACACATACCGCCCTGGAAGGGAGAGGGGAGCCTGACCTTTCACGTTCTTTCAAGCACCACTGGTGCAGGCGTGGCTCAAAGGAGCTCGCTGTAGGCCCGTCCTCCCAGCACAAAATGGGTGATTGCCCCTGAAGACCCCACAGTAATCTCCCATTCCTGGTGAACACTTTTAGGGTCAGGGAGGAATTTTCCTCCAGGCCAGATTGGCCCAGGCATCCTGGAGGTTTTTTTACTTCCTCTGGGCACAGAGCGGGGTGGGGGGGCACTGGGGGAGGGAGCTGTGAATTTCCTGCATTGTGCAGGGGGTGGGACTAGATGACCCTGGGGTTCCCTTCTAGCTCTGTGTTTACATGAACAAGGACAGGCCGAGCACCTCTGGCTGGTAGCCTGTAGGCCTTGGCAGATGCCCCGGCAAGCCGATCCGTGCCACCAGGACCTTGATTCTCCCCCAGAGAGCCTGGCTCCCCAGATTCCAGAATGCTCACTTTCACAGGTAAAGATCCAGTCACATTTCACGTATCACAGCTGATATATTTATGAAAGTGATTTTTAAGCCAATGCCTCAGGGTCAGTTCAGACGTACAGCTGCACACCAGTGTTCCCTCTAAGCCGAGTTAGTGTGAGCTAGCTCACAGTTTTTTAGCCTCCGGCTCACAGATTTTTCTCTTCGCTCAGGAAGGATGGCGCCAGAACAAACTAATTTATGCAGTAGTCAAATCGCATGCTCACAACCAAGGGGTTAGGGCGGTATATGAAATCGAAGGTTAAATAAATAAAAATAAAATAAACTTTAATCCCAGTAGCTCACAAAGTAGAATTTTTGCTCACAAGACTCCACAGCTTAGAGGGAGCATTGCAGTGCACACGTGAACTTAACACCTTTCAAAATAATTGTTTATTCGAATACTATTTTTAAAAAAGAATTTGAGGCACAGCCACACATGGGAACTGACACCGTCAGAAACACTGCATATCTATCCATCCCATTTGTATTCTGCTCTTCCCACAAGGGGTTCAGGGCAGCTTAGACAGTTCTTCCCTTTCCCGCTCCAATTTTGTCCTCACAACAACACTGTGAGGTCAGTTAAAAGAAAATGGCTGGCCCAAGGTCAGCCAGAGAGTTTACTGGATTTGAACCCAGGATCTAGTCCAGTGTTCTTGCTATTGCACCCAGTCTGTGTCTGAGCAAAACCAAAAGTGAACAGGGCCAGGAACTCCTGCCTTCAGCAAGCTATCATGAGGGTGTGAACAGTGAAAGATCCTGGCCCTGTTTCTGGAGCCTTCTGGTCAAGCCTCTAAGCATCTTCTATCGGGAGAGAGGTGGCACGTAGATACCTTTCTTGTATTCCTTTCCAGACCTCTGATTTATCCTCTTGCAGTGGGTCAATGGGGTACAGGTGACGGAACACGAGGGCGGCCACCTCCCCTTCGAAGTGGAGATCGGCAACTTCCTCCAGCCCGTGGAATTGTGCCGCATCACCATGGCCATCAACAACACCCTGACGCCCCACACGCTGCCTCCAGGGACGATTCAATATTTCAAGGACGAGGCCATGTGAGTTCACGGCCCCGCAGGAGGTCTATGTGGGGGGGTGGGAGAGGGAGACAGAGAGATCGCATCCATCCTTTAGTTGAGATTCTAGACCGCTCTCCCTAGACAAGATGAAGGAAGTTCTTTTTTTAAATTTATTTAAAAGCTTTATTTCCTCTCCTAAAAAGGAGATATATTTCGCTTAGTTAGAAAGGGGGAGGGTATATAGTGGGATCAAGAGAAAGGTGAGTGATGTTTTAACTGGTAAAGTTAATCTGTTAGTAATATTAAAATTTTCTTCTTTGGCTTCTTCTGTGTGTTGTCAAACTTCTTTTTTCAAACCGGTTAAATGGATTGTCTATGTTAATATATTAGTAGTGTCCCAATGGTGCTCCGCTAACAAAGTCTTTTCCAACGATTTTTAAAACGATCATCTACGGGCTGGCTTCTTTTAATCTCCAAATTCAGGCAGGAACTTCCTCTGTTTACTCCTCTCCGGTTTCTCGGCTCCTCCTCCGGGTTGCTGCTTCCACTGTCTGTTTGCAAACTGCAAATGCCATAGTCCTTGTTCTCTCGTGCCTCTTCAAAAGGTCTCTGGCTTTGAGAATGGTTTTCTCCTTTTTCCATCTCTCGCTTATATGTTTAAACGCTGCCATTCTCTTAGCTGGACCATGAAGGAAGTTCTTCTGAAGGTTGGGCGTGTAAAGTGCCGTCAAGTCGCAACCGACTTAACAGCCACCCCGTAGGGTTTTCAAGGCAAGAGACGTTCGGAGGTGGTTTGTCATTGCCTGCCTCTATGTAGCAACTCTGGACTTCCGTGGTGGTCTCCCATCCAAGCACTAACCAGGATTGACCCTTTTTATCTTCTGAGATCAGGCTAGCCTGGGCCGTCCAGGTCAGGCCTTCTAAAGGTTACCTTGCAGGTCCTGTTTCCACGCCTGGGTTGTGGTCTGCCGGTGTCTCAAAGAACCTTAACTCTTTTTCTCATATGTTGTAGTATGGGTGCAGGGTTCAAAGAATACAATGACACAAACGGCTGCAGGAACTGATTGAAACCTCTAGGCTTCCCAGCGTTTATTTATAAGCTCAGTTTCCCCCCATTTCCCCCCCCCCTCTCCCTCCTTCTCTCTGCGTAAAGGAAAGTTACAAGCATTCGTTCAGAGCTTGGAATGTGTTGATTCCAAGCTCACAGCTCCTTATCTCCTTCGCAACTGCCAAGGCCAAATTGACTGCATCGTTTAGGCAGTCACCAGACTTCTCATGCTGTTAGTACGCACATATATTTTAGTTCCCAATCTCCAGGCAGGAGAATAGTGGATCCATCTGCACATCTTTCCTACAATATGTAATTTCTTAAAAGATATGAACCCGTTATTTACAATTTGAAATCCTTGTTGTGAGGATAAAATGGAGGAGAAAACAGCCGAAGCCACTGTGAGTCCCCATTGGGGGAAGGGTGGGGTGTAAATGAAATAAATGAGAAATAAATACTGTCAATACTCATTCTCAGTTGGGGATCCTTCCCCCATTCCTGTTCCTCTCCCCTGCCTTAATACAGGTATCCCAAAGGCTACTTTGTTCAAAACACAAGGTTCGATTTCTTCAACTACGCCGGGATTCATCGCCCTGTCGTCCTGTATACGACCCCCTCGGCCTACATAGATGACATCACAGTGACCACAGATTTAGCAGGAAATGTCGGTAGGTTGTGCAATTTCACAAATTGTTAATAGAAATTCAGGGTGGGAGGGCTGTACAGCAGTGGTCTTAAATATCTGACTGCCTTTCCTGTAAAGAAATTAAGATAAATGTTTGTGAGCCCTTGCGATTCTTTTTTTTTTTTTTGTCTGCGTGTGTGCACATGCCCCGAGAAGTTATGGTTGACTTATGAAGACCCCCTAGTGGGGCTTGGACGTTTCAGAGAGGTGGCTACTATTCCTTGGAGGGTCGGCCCTGCTTAGCTTCCAAGATCTTCCAAGAGTGCAGGGGGTTGGACTAGATGACCTGCAAGGTCCCTTCCAACTCTAACATTCCATGATTCTGTGATTCTATCTGACAAGATTGGGCTTGCCTGGGCTATCCAGGTCAGGGCCGCTTTTGCAGTTCTTTCGTTGCATGTACACCCTTTGCAAATATGAAGTCCTTGGTTGAAGTCCAGTTAATGGAGCTTAGCTTGCAACTGTTTTGAGGAAAGACTTTTTTCTGTCTGAGATCCCGCAGAGCTGCTGCCAGTCAGAAGAGATGAGCCTGGAGCCAATGATTTACTGGGGTTTATATAGTTTTATAGGTATGGGAGTTGTAGACTGCCTGCACTTTTGCATGCAGAAGGTCCTAGGTAGCATCTCCAGTTCAAGAAGCTGAGGGGTTGGTGGAAGACCTTTCTCTGCCTGACACCCCAGAGAGCCGCTGCCAGTCCAAGCAGGGACTGAGCTAAAAGGACCAATGTCTGACTCTGCACAAGACCGCTTTGTGTGTCTGTATGCTCTTGGGATGAGTGTGTCCTTTGTAAGCCGAAGGTCCCAGGCTCAGTTCTGTAGCCCAGGCCACTGTTAGCCTGTTCAGAGATATTAGAAACATTTGCAAGGGCTCAAGAAGCTCTTCAAATTGATTTGCATGTGCTTTTTCTCCACCACGTAAAGCAGGCCAGTGCTATCACATTGCAGATGGAGGTTAGCCGGAGGGCGACTTGCCTGTGTCTACTACAGTGAGCTTGTGGCCAAGGTGACATTCAAACCCGGGACTTCCTTGCAGTCACTAAACTGCACTCTCTACTAACCTTCTTTGTTTCCTTTGGGCCAGGTTTGCTACAGTACTTGGTCTCGGTACGGGGGAGCCCCCACTACTCCCTGACTCTGACTTTACGAAATAGAGATGGCGACGTGGTAGCTGCTGCCAACGGATCGGCTGGCGGACTGAAAGTGCTGGATCCCAACCTTTGGTGGCCCTACCTGATGAATGAGCAACCCGGGTACCTTTACTACTTAGAGGTAACCTATTGGGGCCTGGTCATGCTCACATAGCATGAACATCGCCCTCTGTCCCACACACCATCCCCTCCTCTGTTAAAAAAATCCCTCAGATCTTCACATCTCAGTGGAAACAGGAGACAGGGGAGTTGCCCTGCCAGATATTGGGGTAGCATCACATTGCCCCCAAGGAAAGCCTGGGAACAGGTTGCTCCCGCTCACAGGACCCATTTGAATGCCACATGTAAAGATACTAGAAAGTCCCCAATATTTTGGAAAACCCTGTGACTGTCCAAGTCTCCATTCGGCGTCACTGCCCCTTTCCTTTACTTCCCGGGTTCACCAAAACCAAACTAGATATCAGTTGCTGCCATCAGCAACTCTAGGAGTCCCTCCTGCTAAATGGAGTCGCCACTTAGAGACTCCGCCAAGTTGCTGTGCCCACCCACTTTGCTCCTACAAGGTAGCATGGAGTAATCTATTGCAGTGTTGCAGTTTGGGGCTGTAGTGCTCCGGGGATAGCAAGCTCACCTGCTGCCGCTCCCCAGTACTGCAGCTTCAGACAGTAAGACTAGATAGGTACATTTCCAGAGATCAGGCTTAAAGCATTCAAAATGTAAGAAAGTTTAATAAATAAACCAAAAGGATACACATAAGTCTGTAAAAGTGTTCAGGCTGAGCAAGGGTGCAAAGGAGAGGTGAGGACATGCAATCCCCTTTCTCTACACTTGGTTCTTATCCTAAATGATGTTTAAATAGAAGACAACTGGTATTTCTTGGAATTGCAGTAGTAAAAGTTCAGAATTACCTTAGGACTCCTTGCCATATGGACAAGACGGATGACAGAGGAGTCACACGATCTTTGTGGCAGGGCAGGGATTTGAACCCAAATCTCAGTCCAGCACTTTAACCAATATACCCTAATGGCTCTGGCTTGGCTAATGTTTTGAGTTTCTCAATAAACAGGAGTCCAAGTTTCTAGTCCTCATAGCTGCACAAATAAACTTGGAAGTCTGGGACCAATGATGCCCAGTGAAAGCACCGAAACCAGAGAAGTATGGCTGAATAAGATTTCGAGAAGTCAGAAAATGGGGCTTTGTGATCATGAGTAGCTCCTAGCCAAGAGAAGCAGAAGAGCCTACGTAAATGCAGCAAACATGTCCATGTGGCATATGTTGTGGATCCCATGGACTGCGTCTCTGAAGAGGCGGCATATAAACTCTCTAAATAAATAAATGAGAAGCACACTTGGTGTGCCCATTCAGCTTCTCCTTGAGGTACACAATGGTGCTGATCATATGGGTTGGTACAGAGGAAAAGGGGGGCTGGTAGCAGTGTTCCCTCTAAGCTGAGTTAGTGTGAGCTAGCTCACAGTTTTTTAGCCTCCAGCTCACACATTGTTGTCTTAGCTCAGGAACAAACTAATTTAGCTCTAGAGCAAACTACATAATTTATGCAGTAGCCAAATCGCTCACTCACAACTTTAATGCCAGTAGCTCACAAAGTAGAATTTTTGCTCACAAGACTCCACAGCTTAGAGGGAACATTGGCTGGTAGTCAATGATGGGGTCAGTGGGAGCCAGTGTTCCCTCTAAGCTGAGTTAGTGTGAGCCAGCTCACAGTTTTTTAGCCTCCAGCTCACACATTTTTGTCTTAGCTCAGGAAGGATGGCTCCAGAAAAAAACCTAATTTATGCAGTAGCCAAATCACTCACTCACAACTTTAATGCCAGCAGCTCACAAAGTAGAATTTTTGCTCACAAGACTCCACAGCTTAGAGGAAGCATTGGTAGGGACCAGTGCTGGGTGGGGGTCGTGTGCCTGGAAAGCGAATGTAAATCGGGGCATCTTTGGAATCCAGGTCACGCTGTCTGCCATGGTGAACGGGGAGGCCTTGGAAGACAAGTACACGCAGCCAGTCGGTTTCCGTACCGTGCGGGTCACCAGCACCCAGTTCCTCATCAACGGGAAGCCGTTCTACTTCCATGGGGTCAACAAACACGAAGACGCTGACGTGAGTTGGGCTGAGATACCTTTCCTACTACACCAGTTGCAAAACACCAGCCATGCGCTGGGAGCTGTATGACAGTAAGAAGCCGCGTGGTCCGGGTCCACGTAGGTAACAGGCAAGAAGGAACAGAGGAAAATGATGTTGAAAATGGAGCTATCCATAAAGGCCAACGACCTTTGTAAAAGGCCTCACATGCAATTGGAATCTGGATACAAGTTTACCCGTTCAGTGAGAACAAGTGCTTTGCCCGTTGATTTTTAAAAAACGTTTTAATCTATTTTTCGAGTATATTTTTATCCTGTTCTTCCTCCAAGGATGTTAGAGAGCAGCACACAGTGTTCTCCTTGCGTTAGCCGATTCTCACAACAACCCTGTGAGATAGGACACACTGAGAAAGAGAGACTGGCCCATGGTCACCTAAGCCGTCTGGAAGGCAAAAGTGGGGATTAGAACCCAGGTCACCCAGTGGCTGGTCTGACACTCTATCCGCTACACTGCCCTGGAATGAATGCGTGCCTAAACAGCCATTCGGGTTGTACAAAGAACCACAGTGCCCAGCCGAAACCAAGTTGTGGAAAGGGGGCTCTCACTCATTCCTAGAGAGGCTCACCGGGTTCCTTCTCACACAGATCCGTGGGAAAGGACTGGACTGGTCACTGATCGTGAAGGACTTCAACCTTTTGCGCTGGCTGGGAGCCAATGCTTTTCGCACGAGCCACTACCCCTACGCTGAGGAGATCATGGAGCTTTGCGATGCCTACGGCATTGTGGTGATTGATGAGTGTCCAGGAGTGGGCATGAGAGACCGGTAGGGTTGCCAAGCTCTGAGGTTGGGCAAAATGTGAAGATTTTGGGAATGGAGCCTTGGAAAGACGGGGGTTGGTTAGGGGAGGGATCTCAGCGGGGAGGCCACAGTTGCCCACCCTCCAAAGCAGCCATTTCATTTATTTATTTATTTTCAAAAAACAATTTATTAGGATATATTATTAGTTCAAACATACAACATGTTATTTTTTGTTATCCATCTTTTCTCTCCCCCCCCCCCCCCGGCTTCCCACAGTGCTCCAATCTCTATTTTCCACTTCTATTCATAATCTACCAGTAACGCTTTTTTCTACTAATATTTTCTCTTAATTAACTTTCATCTAATAACATTAACTTTTCAATAATTGTCAAAGCAAATTAAATTGTCCTTTACATCCCAATATTTTTCTAGATACTCTTTAAAGTCTTTCCAATCTGCATAGAATTCTGTCTCAAGGTTCTTAAGTTTCCTTGTCATTTTGTCCATTTCAACCATGAATATTAATTTCTTTATCCATTCCCCAATTTCCAGGATTCTGTCTTATTTATTTTATTTTTGAGATTTCTATCCTGCCCTACCCTACAAGCGGGCTCAGGGTGGCTCACAACATGTCATAAAACATCAGTACAATTAAAACATCAATTCACAGAGAGTAACATTAAATGCCAACTGAAAATACCAAGTGGCAGCTCAGCAATTCATTTGAGTCCACTGTACGGTGAGCTCATTTCTCCAGGGGATCTTGGTCGTCTGGGGAGCAATTGTAATAGCGGGAGACCTCCAGGTGCCGCCTGGAGGTTGGCAGCCCTAGACACAGGTGAGGGATTTGGCGCTCCTGAGGTTCCTTTAAAATATTCCAGTGCCTTATGGGATGTGATGGCAACGAGGCCTTAGGAAATGATCATCTGTCACAGAGGGACACCGTGCAGGCAGAAAGATCTCTGCCATTAGCGCTCTTCTACTCTGGCCTGAGAGGAAAACTGGCAGGCCATTGGTAGATGGAATCTCACAATGAGGGAAATTTCACTACGCATACATTCGACAACAGAGTTTCCTGCTGCACATGTGCAAGTTCGCTTATGGGCAGATCTGCCATCATGGCAAGTTTTTAATTTTAAATTCTCTCAATGCTTTAAATTAACCTGACTGCAGGGGTCTCGTGTAGAAAGGTAGGGCAGATATACTGTGAATTAAAGTGATTCTGGGTAGGTCTTTAAGAGGGAAGGAGGAGACATCAAAACAAGCCATCCTGGAAACTTCGTTTAATTACCCATCTGCAAAATGATGTTTGAAATAAATAAAATAACCATGGCAGGTTGAGAGAAGAGTTGCACTTAGGGAGCTTCAAAGAGGAGGGACGATGAATTTCATACATTGGTTTTGAAGCCTAACACTTTGCTACTTCCTTTCAGCACCAACTTTGAAAACAAATCTCTACAGCATCACCTCATCGTGATGGAGGAACTCATCCGCAGGGACAAAAACCGGCCCTCAGTCGTCATGTGGTCGGTGGCCAATGAACCAGCCTCAGAGCTGGCCCCAGCGGCTTATTACTTCAAGTGAGTATCTGCCATGCTGTGAGGCTCATTAAGGTGCAGTCAGCTGCCGCTCTACGAAACAAGGTTTCTGTTCATGTGAACAAAACACAAAATGGTGTTCTTCTTGTCCTGTAAGAGACCACAGAGGATAAGAAACTTGGGGAAGTGCTTTCGGTCCATTAGCTGAGTGCTTCTGAATTTTAGGTGACAGGTGACGGTGGAGTGATACTGTTAGGGATGGATTTGATAGGTGTAGCCTTATAGAGTTTTAATTATAGCGAAAGGTTTGAGATTGAATGTCAATTCCGGGTGTATGCCTTGTATTGCAAAACTGGTAAATATTTGTATGTACAGGTTTATATTTGTGGAGGCAGTTCCTGTTTATGTGTTGTACTGTGCTTAAACTCAATAAACGTAAAAAAAAAAGGGATGGATATGGAGTGGAAGCCCAGCGCCTTGGCTCAGAGGTTCAGCAAGGGTCCCTAACAGCAGGCCATAGCATCACACTTGAAATATATATTAGTACCTAAAGGATGTTCCCCCTAAGACTTTAGTCCAAAGTGTAATAAAATTATCAAACTCACAAGTAGAGCATTCTCCTAGGTTGGAACACCAGGAAGCAAGAGCAGAATTGGCTGGGACAGGATCCCTTTACACATTCACCTGTATCAACCTGTAGCAATTCCCTGTTTGTTTACACTTTCCCCCTTGCTTTTCTTTCCCAAAGTTATATCGTTCTGTCCTTTCCTCTTCTCCTGTCAATCATGGTCTGTCCCCATGCCTCCTCTTTCAGCATTTCCTTAATCCTTTCCTGGATTCTCACGCTCTCCTTTCTTCCCTCCTGTTTGTACTACCTTAAAAGGTAGAGAACAGAGGGAGTCAGTATTCTCTCCTTACAATACAGCTGCCGGGGGGGGGGGGGGGTGCCCCTTCCATCCCTTCCATTTTTCTCATCCTACGGATGCTTCAACAAGTTAAATAAATCAGACAGGGGGAAAGTAGTCATGTGAAGATGAGCAGATCCACAGGCTAGGATCAGCATGTCAAAGGGCTGAGTGTTTTGGGAGAACCAGAAGGAGGACTGAGACCAGAGACAAACAGTGCTCTGGAAGAAAGGCAGTAGCCTATGGAGCAAAGCAGTCAATAGACCAATGGCTTGGATCATGTATGCACCAACAGCTCTGGCTGGACTCCTAGCACATCTACTGATTCTGACCATAGTGTTGTGGCAAATGTTGGTGTATGGCTGTGTTTTGTCTGTGGGGTCCTGGCCTTGGGTGACAGACTCTTAAGGAGTCACTGACTAGGTTATGCTTCCTACTGTTAATCTGCCTCTTTTGGTAAAAGACACCAATCCTCACCCCCAATTCCCAGGAGACAAGCTCCTTGGTAGCCTCAGAGAAAAAGAGCCTGGGGGTGGGTGGGAAATAGCCTGGTCAGACACTGCAACCCTGAATGAATACATTCATGCTTTTTCCTCTTGGCGCACAGGACAGTCATTGCTCATACCAAAGCCATGGACCCCACGCGACCTGTAACATTCATCTCAAACGCCAATTATGCTCGTGATCAAGGGGTAAGCGCCGTATCTCCTTTCGTGACAAAGCTTCAGCTGTTAGGCTGCATTCGGAGGAGCAGTGTACCCACGCCACAAGCAGTAATAGCGCCACTTTATTCCATTCTAGTCGGACCCCCTCCGAGTTACTGTCTCTGGTTCAGGGTGCCCCATAGTGTAAGGAAAAGGTGGATAAACTTGAGCGGGTTCCGAGGAGGGCAGCCAAGATGGAGGAAGGTCTGGAAAGGAAGCCCACGAGGAAAGACAGAAGGATGTGAGCCTGTTTAGCCTTGAAGGGAGACATGATACCATCCTTCACCTCCCCAAAGGGCTATCATGTGGGGAAGAGCAAAGACCCATTATCTGCTGCTCCAGAGAGCAAGAGCAGATCTCAGGGGCTTAGGATACCAAACATTTCAGTTTTAACATTAGGAGAAACTTCCAACCAGTAACACAGATTCAAGAAGCCCAACAGCCCAGCCTAGAGCTCTCTTAGCAGAGCCTGAAAGCTAAGCAGGGTCAGCCCTAGTTAGTATTTGGGTGGGAGCAGTGTTCCTTCGAAGCTGTGTGTGTGAGCGGCTCCTCATTAACACACAGGAAGCCCCACTCAGCAGTAAATCTGGAGCCGTGCAGGGTCTTTGCATTGCCCATTGTCCATTTTAAGATAACAGCAGTTATATTCTGCTCAGCTCGGTAGGGGGGAAAATTAGAGGGAACATTGAATGGAAGACCACCAAGAAAGACTGGGGTTGCTATGCAGAGAAAAGCAAAGGCAAACCACCTCTGGCCATCTCTGAGAGCCAGTTTGGTGCAGTGGTTAAGTGTGCGGACTCTAATCTGGGAGAACCGGGTTTGATTCCCCACTCCTCCACTTGCACCTGCTGATGTGACCTTGGGTCAGTCACAAGCTCTGGCACAGCTGTCCTTGAAAAAGGGCCGTTTGTGTCAGAGTTCTCTCAGCCCCACCCACCTCACAGGGTATCTGTTGTGGGGAGGGGAAGGGAAAGGAGTTTGTAAACCGCTCTGAGACTCCAAGTGAAGGGCGGGGTATAAATCCAATCTCTTCTTCTTCTTCTTGCCCTACAAACCCGATGGCCCTGGGGCCGCTTTGAGTCAGCTGTGACTTGATGGGACACTATTAGGAGCGATTCAACAGTGGAACCAACTGAGGGGCTCTCCCTCACTGGAGGTCTTCAAGCAGAAGCTGGATAGCCCCTGTGAGGAACCCTCCAGTTTGGATTTCCTGCCCTGAATAAGGAGTTGGACTAGATAGGCTATACAGCCCCTTCCCAGAAAGGCTGATCACACGCCTGCTTTGACGGAAGGAGTAAAGAGTGTGACGAAGACCCCGTTTCTCCTCACTCGACCTAAGCTGAAGTTTTCCATAGGCACCTTATGTGGATGTTGTCTGTGTGAACAGCTACTTCTCCTGGTACCATGACCCCGGGCACCTGGAAGTCATCCAGCTACAGCTCAATTCACAATTTGAGAACTGGTACAAAACTCACCAGAAGCCCATCATCCAGAGTGAATACGGGGCCGACGCCGTGGCTGGCCTCCATAGCGTGAGTTGCATGTGTGGAAGGGGAACCAATGTGTTTTAAATTACATTTAGTGCCCCCACCACACTGTAAACAGTGGGGAAATACCCAAGGAGGTTCCTCTGTTGTTAGGTATAGAGTGAACATTCTGAGGCGGGAGGGGAATTGCCTCCTTGAGTCTGAGGCAGAACTTTCCAGAATGTTCTGCCAACTGTGCTGGTCATTGATCACACAAAGATGGCACTGTTTATCCCCTTTGAACATAACACCAGCACACCGTGTTAAAATGAGCTCACGTGCCTCTCACCTTGACTTCTTGCGCATGGTTCTTGTGCACCAGTCATTCAAGTGGGGCGTACACAACAGCCCATTTCATCTAAGAGTACCTTTTGCCATCATGGGCTTCAGCCTTTCCCCTCTTTCCTAATGTCTTTAGGACCCTCCCCTTATGTTCACGGAGGAATACCAAGCAGCCGTACTGAAGGCATATCACACCATCTTTGACCAAAAGAGGAAGGAATACGTCATTGGGGAGCTCATCTGGAATTTTGCTGATTTTATGACCGAACAAGGTATGGATGTGTCGGGTGATAATTGCCACCTTACTTGGTAACCTTTTACAGCTCTATCCATCATGACCGAACCATTTTTAAATCCCACTGATTTGAGAAGGAGAAGTAAATGTGTACTCAGCTTTTCTCCCTGAGAGCCACAGCAATTATAAGTGCTTAACTTTGGCTGAATTGTACCCTTTTTGCCCTGTGGGGAAGACAAAACACACTTGGCTTCTAAAATCTCCTCTCAGAATTTTTTCCTGCGAAAATTAACCACTGGAAAGTCTTTGCATATTTTCGGTATTTTCCAACCATTCCCCGAAGATTTGCTATATTTGGACACTGGACAGTTAAATACCAATCTGAAGTATGACTGGTAGTCAACATGCAATAGCAGAATTGAGTCTTTGCTGGATGACATGCGATGGCATACAGTATTCTTCTAACGGCTGCATTTATAATAGCCAGAATCAAAAGAGGTTAGTACCTCATGTCTGCATTTTCTTTAATTCTGAGGAAATCATTTCTGTTTCATAAACCTGAAAGGCAAGAATAGGAAACTTCAAAGTTTTTACATTCCTTAAATATGTGCAATCCACTCTGAACACTTGGGCTCCTGATCCAGTTTACAGCATAAAGACACATCTTTGTTTGGTTCATATTTATGGGAATGCACATTGTTATCCTGGGGTTGTACAATTCAGTCTGCTGGTGAGTTAATCGGGGGAGTGTTAAAATCACGAGTCTTCTTCTGTATGGAGATTTCACCAGGCATTTCCCCCCGCCCCAAATACTTTGAAGCCCACCCTGGCCAATGCTAGTAAAAACGTCTTTTAAAGAAATGTACTACCAGGATGACACATTCCGCAGTTAGTCAAAAATTCCATAGAACCAAACAGGAGTCCCCCAGCATCTTCAAATCCAATATATTTTATTATGGCATAAGCTTCCATAGGCTATTGCCACAGTGAATCACATAGCACCTTAGACTGAGAGACTTCTGTTTGATTTGGTTGCAGCAGACAAACATGGCAACCCCACTGGAATTTGCTAACTTGAATTTCTGTGCCTCTTGCAAAACTAGCTGCTGCTGAAGTATTTGGATCATCGCTGATGGTTTTTTAACTGCCTTTTACATCCACTTGAGCTGCGGTGGCTCAAGTGATTAAGACGCTGAACTGCAGACTGTGGAAGGTCAGTAGTTCAGCAGTTCGAGACCCGGGGGCCACATGATGGAGTGAGCTCCCATCTCCTGCCAACCTAGCAGTTCGAAAGCAAGAAATTGCAAGTAGATAAATAGGTACCACTTTGGTGGGAAGGTACCAGCGTTCCGTGCGCCTTGGTGTTTAGTCATGCCGGCCACATGACCACGGAAACGTCTTTGGACAGCGCTGGCTCTTCGGCCTTGAAACGGAGATGAGCACCGCAACCCTAGAGTCGGATTTGACTGGCTTTCGAGCAAGGGAACCTTTACCTTTACCTTTTTACATCCACAGGGACAACACGTGTTTTGGGGAACAAGAAAGGGATTTTTACCCGTCAACGGCAACCCAAATCTGCTGCCTTTCTTCTTAAGGAGAGGTACTGGAAGCTTGCCAACGAATCCGGGCTTGTCCCATCCAAGCACAACGGTGTCTGTTTCCCTCCGCCTCAGCCCTTCAAGTGTACTTAAGAGACTGACATTCGGACAGGGCTGCGGACTCCTCTTGCTTTCTGAATAGTTTGCTGTAGGAAATCACACAGAAGACAGGGCCAACGGAACATGTGCTTTGAGCAGAAGCTGCAAGAGGGAGAACACCGAGCCCAGCAGAGTCAGTGAGGAGCTAAATGCCTGGACTCCCAGGCCACGTTTCAACTTTGGGGATGCCAAGAAGTGTAGACTCATGACGCTGCACCTTCAGTGAAACGTGCATATTTTTGCCTGTCAACAGCCAGACTGCCAGGAATGGTCTCAGAAAACTGACTCAGCCTAGAGTTCAATGACTCAGTTTGATCCATGACTACCATTTCATTCTCTCGGCTATAAATTGTATTTAGGTTTAAAACGGTAGTCTCAGATCAGTTTCTGAAAAGGAAACAAAACGAAATTTACAAGGGATTTTTTTTTTTTTTTAAGTAGGGCTAAATGCAGTTTGTAAGGAGGCTGGAGGCTTTGGGAGGGCCCTCAACTTCATGGGGCCCAACCAACATTTGTCTGCACCAGTGTTCCCTCTAAGCTGAGTTAGTGTCAGCTAGCTCACAGTTTTTTAGCCTCCGGCTCACACACTTTTGTCTTTGCTCAGGAAGGATGGCTCCAGAGCAAACTCATTTATGTGGCAGTCAAATTGCTTGCTCACAACTTTAATGCCAGTCGCTCACAAAGTAGAATTTTTGCTCACAGGACTCCACAGCTTAGAGGGAACATTGGCTCTGCACATATTTATGTCATTTATACCTGGCTTTCTCCACAGTGGGGACCCAAGGCAGCTTACATCTCTGTCTCCTCCTTTTTGTCCTCACAACAACCCTGTGCGGTAGGTTAGGGCTGAGCGTGACTGGTCCAAGGTCACCCGCTTCCATGGCAGAGTGGGGATACAAACCAAAGTCTCCTGGATCCTAGTCTGACCTCTAACCACTGTGCTGTACTGGCTGACGTATCTTTATAGTGCTTCCTTTCTTAATTCACAATTAGTTTCAGGATGTGTGAACTGACTACACTGAACACGCAGGGCTATTTTTGGTCAGGAACGCACAGGAACGGAGTTCCGGCTGGCTCCCGAGTTGGCCACACCCAGCAGGAACTCATTAGCATAATAGGCCACACCCAACAGCAGAAACTCATTATGACTGGCTACATTAGGGGTGTGCGGCCTAACATGCAAAGGAGTTCCTGCTATAAAAAAGCCCTGGGTTTTGACAACAAACAAGGTAAACAGAATAAGAAGCAAAAGGTGAGTGTGTCTGGATGACCACACTTCTGCGAACATGGGATGTGTGGCCTAATATGCTAATGAGCTGTGCTGTCAGGGGTGTGTCCTAATAAGCAAATGAATTTCTGCTGTTGGGTGTGGCCTATTATGCTAATGAGTTCCTGCTGGGCTTTTTCTACAAAAAAAGCCCTGTGAACACGTATGCTGAAAGTAACATCAGAGGGACATGAAGGCTGGAACCCAGCCAGTCGTCCATTAATAGGCGACTCAGCCCTAAAGCGAGGGCCACAAAATTCTCCTGTTTATCAGTGTGGGACCGTCAGAGGCTGGCTTCCAACGGGAATTAAACCACCATCATTTGCATTATACTGAGTGTTCAAACATACACTGCCCTAGGTGAACCAGACAGGACGCCTGCACCACATTAAAAATAAACACATTTATATCCCAGCAAACTTTCCTCCAGCAGCGTATACTAGAACACTGGCTTGTCTTTAAGCTGTTACAACACTCCTGTCTGTTTCTATGGCAACAGACCAAGATGGCTGCTCCTTGGTAGACTGGTTCTCCCCATATTGAGAATGGGGCAGAGAGGACCAAGGGTGAGCATGGCTTACCTAAAAATACCACAAATAAGGTTATACCAGAGGTGATATTATAACAGGGACCAAAACGCTGCTGTCTCTGGCAGTTTTTAACACAATGGATTAATATCTGCATTATAGTAGAGTTCTGATCCAAACACAGTAGACCTCTCGTAAACGAAGCCAGAGTGTGGTCTGAAGGTGCAGGGTGTAGCCACTTCACAGAAGTCTGGGTCTGTGAGAGAGCCAGAAATTCCCCTTGCACACCCCAGTTCTGTGACAGAGGAAAAGTAGGACAGCCAGGTAATGCCAGACTCTACCATTTCAAATTGTAGGCAGGGGGGGAAAAGCACATTTGTATTGTTTCCCCTGCACATAGCAAACTCTATAGAGCATTATGCACAAGATTCCAGCTCAGCCTTTTCCTGGCTGCATTAAGCAGATACACTTTTAAAACACAGGAAGTGTTCTGACATTTCTCTCACGCACCTTAATGTTGTACAGTCCAGTCAGAGAAGAACAATCACACAAGCCTACCAAACTGTATTTTCTCTCCTTCACAGGATAAAGGGAGACTTGCAGGTTTTAAAGACAGGTTTTTTTAGGGTCAGAGTATTCAGCACATCAGAATGAGGCAGAAAAATTTCACGGACTAAAGCAGGGAGGCAGGGTGCTGAGCACTCCCCTGTCAAATATCTCCCCGCACATCATAAAGAGAAATTTCAGACAGACGATATAATCCGGAAGAGGAACGGTTCCCAAACGGTTTCTGGTCTGTCATTTCAGACAGAACTGTTTTAGAACCAGTTCCCTACCGGAATATATTTCTAATTTCACACACAAATGCTTCTGTCCCGTTTAGGAAATGGGGCTGAAGCGTTTTACCTGTCAACCGCTTCCAAGTAGTCTTCAGTTTCCTCTCCCGGTTCCGATGCACTTTTTCCTGCCATTTTTCGCCCACGCGGGTGATCTACGGCTTTTTTAAAAAAACGTTCGCTTTATAGCACTATAACGGTATAACGCAACAGCATTATATCAACCCCATTGCAATGCCTGATGTGTTGTGCTATAGCACCATAGCGCTCTAACACGAACGTTAAAAAAAAAAGCTGAAGATCGCCCGCGCGGGCGAAAAACAGCGGGGGGAAAGCGGTGCAGACTGAAAAGGCAAACCGCTTCAGATCCAGCTCTTTACCGGGAGGGGAAAGCCATGTGTGAAATGGCAGCCCTATACTGGTTTACTCCACGATGGATCAAAAACGGCTTCAAAACGGGTTAAAAAGGGTAATGTGAAATTCCTCAACAAGTCAGCGAGTAAAGACGACAGGCAAGTTGCTTTTCCTCTCCTGTCTTATTTTTCCCTCCTTCCAGATCTCATCTCCAGGGGAGTATCCTCCACCTTAACCCCTGTCATTGAGATGGAGTCACCTGGTACTTTCTGCCTCAATTCACCTTCTAATCTAGAATTTTTAAAATGACAAGATGTTTAAACTTGGAAGTTCTTCTGACCATCCACTGAGGATGCCACAGTTATTTCTATACTTGACCTTCTAAGCAACCTTTTGACTTAAATGGTGACTGGTGGTTTTGGTTTTTTAAACCATACTTCCAAAAACTGGAGCTAGCAGTTGTTTAAGAGGAAGCATCACTCGTTTGGTTCTGCACAGCAGCAAGTAAATGCCTCTTCTCTCAGACAGGAAGGAATGCCTCCCACATGCTTCTGTGTGACATGTGCTCGGCTGTGAAACCAAATGTGGATTTCTTCTCTAGAATGCTGTACTGATGCATGAGCCTAATCACAGAGTTAATCGGGACTCCTTGGAGCAGGTGACAGACCTATTGAATTAGCATAAAAAAAAGACACATGAGCAGGTAGAGAAAGAGGTACTTTTCTCCCTTTCTCACAATACAAGAACTTGTGGGCACTCCATGAAATTGCTGAGCGGTCGGGTTAGGACGGATAAAAGGAATTACTTCTTCACCCAAAGAGTGATTAACACTTGGAATTCACTGCCACAGGAGGTGGTGGCGGCTACAAGCATGGACGGCTTCAAAAGGGCATTAGATAAGCATATGGAGCAGAGGTCCATCAGTGGCTATTAGCCACAAGGTACAGATAGGGGCTCTGGGGCAAGTGATGCTCTGTCATCTTGGGGGGGGGGGTCAACAGTGGGAGGGCTTCTAATGTCCTGGCCCCACTGGTGGACCTCCTGATGGCACCTGGTATTTCTGGCCACTGTATGACAGAGTGTTGGACTGGATGGGCCTTTGGCCTGATCCAACATTGGCATCTCTTAAGTTCTTATGTTTAAGCTGCGTTACGCTGAATCGGTCACTATTGTCCACTCAGACTGGCAGTAGCTCTCCAGGGTCTCAGGCAAGAGGTATTTCATATCACCCGATCAGTGTTCCCTCTAAGCTGAGTTAGTGTGAGCTAGCTCAGTTTTTTAGCCTCCAGCTCACACATTGTCTTAGCTCAGGAAGGAGGGCTCCAGAACAAACTAATTTATGCGGCAGCCAAATCCCTCGCGCACAACTTTAATGCCAGCAGCTCACAAAGTGGAATTTTTGCTCACAAGACTCCACAGCTTAGAGGGAGCATTGCACCCGATCCTTTCTACTGGAGATACTGGGGACTGAATCGGGGACCTTTTGCATGCAAAGCAGGTGCTCTACCACTGAGCTGTGACCCCTCCCGACAAAACGCTGGCCGTCAACTTTATGTGGAAATGTAATCACTAACTGAGAGCCAGTTTGGTGTAGTGGTTAAGAACGGCAGACTCTAATCTGGAGAACCGGGTTTGATTCCCCACTCCTCCACATGCAGCCAGCTGGATGACCTTGGGTCAGTCACAGTTCTCTCTCGAGCTCTCTCGGCCCCACCTACATCACAGGGTGCCTGTTGTGGGGAGGGGAAGGGAAAGGGACTGTAAGCCACTCCGAGACTCCTTTGGGTACTGAAGGGCAGGGTATAAAACCAACTCTTCTTCTAAGAGCTGCATGCACTTATTTGCACTTAACAGAATCCCACTTATTAATTTATTGCATCCCACCTATTAATTTACCTAATTCCTACCCCGCCTTTTTCCCCATTGGGGACCCTAGGCAGTTTAACAATGTTCTCTCCTCCAGGTTCTCTTCACAACAGTCCTCTGAGGTAGATTAGGCTGACAGTGTGTGACTGGCCCCGACACCCAGCAATCTGTCCCCATGACACCACCCTGCCTCTCTATCCGCAGTGCACACCTGAGTTTTGGCTCTTCAGGAATCAGAAATGAAAAGACAGAATGTGAATTCTGCTTGGTTTTTTTCCCTTTCAAAAAGCAATCCAGCAGGCAAAGATACTCTCACGCAGCATCACTGAAGACATTTTTTAAAAGGTAAAGAAAGCCCAGAGCCACAGTCGTGTGTCACGAAAATACTGCAAAAAGACATCCACAGATAATTTCTACATTTATTTTTATACCAAAAAAGTTATGTGCAACAAATAAACATTCTTACATTATTTACATTTTTTTCTTAAATTCCCCGTTAGCAAAACTCTATTCTAGACCTCAGGATTCTGTAGTCTTAACGTTGAACGTAAAAATGGAACGTCTCCGCTCGACAGACAGTTTGGAGTTTGAAGCATGTGATAAAAATTTTGTCAGATGGAACGTACGAGACAGAACACACACACCAAATACTTAGGCCATGCTTAATACAGACTTTTTTTTTAAACAACCCAAAATGGTAACGGAATATTTTTACCCGCAGCCGATTAATTTTGCTAGGGTGTGGCTGGACAACGTTGGCAGAACCCAAGCAAAGTTTAATCTGGTTTTCACTTCAAACATCTCCATGCAGATCAGGAGCAATCACAACGCCTGACTTCCTCACCCCAACCCCCCCCCCCACACACACAACTGTGGGATTAGAGATGCCCCAAAACTGAGCAGCAAAGTAACAGAGCATCTTCAGGGGGGAAATATGACTCACACTTTTTGAAGTGAGGCTACCCTTTGGGTGCCTTTCTTACAGGGCCGTTTCCCTTCTATGCCTGTGAATCGCTCTCTGCCGGCATCCTGTCCCCTGCCAAAGCAATGCCTCTCGAACCATTGCATAATCCTGGCACATTGGGAAGCTTGGCAGGAAGACTTAAATTAACACTGGAAATCATGCAGCCGTCCACAACTAGGGGCACTTTCCTCCTAATGCAGGACAACCATCATTCAGTCTGACCAATGCAAGCTGGACTTGTTATCCGAAAGGTATTAAGGGTTCTGCAAAGCACATGGAGGGGTTTTACCAGATGCATGGGTGCTTTCGTCTAGGAAAAGAGACACCTCCATGCACACCTAACTCTGCCACAGTGCCTACCAGCCCATCGGCCAATGGCCTTCAGTGCCTAGTACGATTCACATGAGGAGGGAGAAGACCATGGTACTGGCCTGCAGCAGGCCAGTTCTTCGTGCATTAATTGCTCAGGTTATTGCTACTAACCACCAAACAGCTAAGTTTTGACAGGTGACCATTGGCAAGAGTGGACAACGGGTCTTTGACCCTTCAAGGGTGGTGGTACAAGATGGAATTGTTGCAGGAGCAGTCGGTGGCATGGAGAGAAACGGCATGCACTCTTCGGCATGCCTCCTGCCAGCCACAGGAGGCAGATCAAGATGGGCAGCCATGTCCGTCTGTCTGTAGCGGTACAAAAGAGCAAGAGTCCAGTAGCACCTTAAAGACTGACGCCGAATTTGTGGCAGGGGATGAGCGTTCGTTAGTCACTGCTCACAGAAGAATATCTGAAGCAGCGAGCACTGACTCGCGAAAGCTCATCCCCCGCCACAAATTTGGTGTCAGTCTTTAAGGTGCTACTGGACTCTTACACTTTTCCACTGCAAACGACAGGAGTGACGTAGTCTGCCGCTGAATCACCATTCGCCCCACAAGAGAGATGGGCAAATGGCAGAACGGACTCACACTGGCACACCAGGCACGGCACCTCCTTTTAAGGACCCCTCCGCCGCCCCCCGTTCCCTGCAGAGGTTTCATCAAAGCTGCAGCACAAATAATGAAATGAGGCAAGCAGAGGCAACTGCTGCGGGGGTCTTTTCAGCCCTGATCCCCCGCCAGAAGAGAGGGACCTATATTGATAGACACCCCACACACACACACACACACACTTGGGCAAAAATCGTATCACTCTGCAAGGGGCACAGCTGCTGTTCTGCACCTCTTCCTCATTCCTTGAGACCCGAGATTCCTTCATTTCATGGAGAGGGAACCGACACCCGGGAGTCATGCCCTTTCTGAGTCCGTTACTCTGGTTCTGCTCAGAAACTAGGTTCTTCCTGGATTGAGAAGTACACAAGAATCTGAGATTTTTTTTCCTTGCTGAGAAACAAAGACGACAATTTGGAAAAGCAACTTAAAAATTCAAATCGTGGTTCGGCCTGCCATTTGAGATGAGCAGACAGAGTGCTTGGCCCAGGGAGCAGACTCCGGCGGAGAAGGGAAGAAACCTTCCCCTGCCCCTTACCTGCCGATTGCTTACGGTTTACTATTCTGATCAGGCAGAGGGCCCAGAGTCCGAAAACAGCATCTTTAATTTAATTTAATACTTTTGATATGTCAAAGGTATTTAATGGTTACAGGAATGGTTTAAAGTAAAAAAAAAAAAAAAAGATACTAACAACCCACAGAGTGGCATCTTCCCGTACAGGAGAGGGTAAAACCTCAATGGTCCCACAGGAAATATTACACAAGGCTCTACCCGCCCACTCCTCTTCCCCGGATCCCAAAGTTCAGGCAAGCTTTAAATGTACTCTGATCGACGCAAAGATAAATTGAGAAGCTTCGGACAAGGACAAGCCGGTTTAGTGTTCTAATATGTATTATAACATCACTGGTTTAACAGGGTTCCCCCTTCACCATCCCTTGCACGCCAGTCCCCAGTAAAAACAGGACAGATTTTGGCAGACATTTCAATACTGTCGGGACGTCCATCCAGGGTAGAGGCCTGCTTCCACTGAAGACGCTAATACAAGAGCATTCTTTTAACACCTTGACATTGAATGCTCCCTCCCCCCCCCCCCCCCCGGCCTTCTTACAGTACATCAAAATCAGAGTTACATACAGAGACTCACAAGGAAGAAATTTCAGGCTGAACAGAATTCTTAACGGGAGGGCTTTGACAAGCTACGTCCTGACAGATAACAAAGGCAAGAGGACAACCCAACACTGCCAATAAGACAACTTCCCCGATTCACATTTTGGCATCGAGACAGTGAGAGAACAGAGCGCGGTTTAACTATAGTCAGAGCTGGCCCTGGGTTGTTCTGCCGTACCTTGGGACTCTATGGCTGCGTTCCAAGGTCCTTGCTAAAGGGTCAGACCTGCTCCCAGCTATCAGACTGTATGCTGCACCGCCCTGCTTTTCAGTGCCCCCAACAGACGGGTTGGGCTGCCTGGCCAGAATGGCCAGCCCTGCAGGTATCAGTCCCGCAGACTGGATTGCCTGAGAGCCCTAACCAGACACTACATGTAGCGAGGAGCCTCTGGGTGACTGCAGCAGCCACTGTGTTCCGACAACTGCTATGGGCACCTGCAGACAGCTGCTACCACTACCCACTCACCCTTTAGAGGCATCTATGTTATTTCCGCTGCTGCACGAAGGAATAAGAAACTGCAGTGACATCCTTGCTTCTCTCCACTGCTGCGAGAAGCCACAAAGCGTGGCAGGAGGACAAGCAGTAATGCAGTAGCATTGGGGTGTACCGGAAGGGAACTCTGCATGAGTGTCCATAGCTGCGGTCAAAGCCAGTCGCTGCTACTGTCCTCTACAACTGTCTCACTCTGCTAAGTCTTGTTTGCAAAATCCGGCACCGGCTGTGCAAATTCCTGTGTCAAAACTCATTGGAGAAAGCCACCGAGCTCAGGCAGTTAGGTACAATACTGCACAACGCACCCTAAGGAGAGACAGGTAGCCTCTTTCTATGAATTACCGCAGCAGCAAGAGCACAACCCTGCTGCAAGCCCCACAGTGCCTATACCGTCCCTGTCAGTCATGGGCCTCAACACAGCTGCAGGCACCTGCGGACTACAGAGGCCTGGCACTCTCAGCCTGCCCCAGAATTAGGGACCTCTAGGTGAGAGATTCGTTCACAACACTGCGGCCCCTCGGCATGCAAGGGGCACAACATCGCTTCCCTACATACTGCCAAGGTTTGTTTCCATTTTGCACACGCAAGAAACACTTCTGCCTGCCAATTTCAAACACCCACAGATATTTGGTTGCTCTTGTTTGCTTTGTGTTTAAAAGACAGAAGGCACTTTTTAAACATTGTGTTTCGGGGGGTGACACAAACCGGAGCGGGGAGGGAGGGGGACAGGACGGCAACGCAGTGATCTGCAATTCGCTTGAACGTATCGCTTCAAGAACCGTGATTGAATCCTGAACGCCCCACTCGGTTCTGAGTGATCTGCCTACTTGTTTCCTTTAACGACCTTCAACATACACACACACACACACGGTCCTCCCCACCACACACCACTTTGGGGTGGGGAGAACTGATTACACATCCACTCTAACCTCTCCTATGTATCAAGGATCCCGAATCGCTCGGTCTCCTTGGGCATCACCTGTAGGGATGTGTCCCTCCATCAACCACTCGAAGCGAAGGGAAATTTTGTTTCCTTCAGCAGCTGCCCTCTTGGTTTCGACAGGGGCTAGCAGGAGAAGACATCACTGCAGGTGATGCCTGAACAGTGCATCAGTTTGCCAGTAAGTTACTGGGATCCAGTGTAAGAGTTGTAGTTCTACACAGCAGCTTATTGAACCGGTAATACTGTCTGACTGCCTGACACTGGTTCGAAGAGACTGACCCGCTCTGTCCCTGAATTCCACTCGGAACACGTTTCCCCTTTAATAAAGGGGCATCTTCCTCTACAGACTCCACATGCCACCTCTGGCCAAATCCCCTCCACAGTGTCCTCAGAGAAGACTCTTTTTTTTGCCAGTCGTAACAACTTTGTATGTTATGCAGGGAACCCGAAACCGTTCCATTGGTTGTAGAACACATACAACCGTCAGCGTCAACTTACGTCTCGTCACAGATGCACATGCGTGTGTACGCATACAAAAAAACAAGGAATCTCAGCTAACCGTAAGCCTCCCGCAGAGATGGGCTCCTTTTATCCTGCTTTTGTTTAAGGTGTTTGTTCAAACAAATCTCCCAACAAGAGGACAAATGATTCTTCAAGGTCACTACGCTTCTAAATGAAGCCAGCCGAGTCGTGATGGAGCTTCTGTTTTTGCAAAGGTACGGCCGGGCCTTTCTAGCATTACATACGATTTCGCAGTGAGTGTCCTAGCTGCTGCACGTATGCTTTTCAAATCCCATCAACTACAGACAGACACACACAATGTAAACACAGCAACATCTCTGTATGGTACCTCTAAAGTCTAGAATAAAGTTATCATGATCACGTCTTCCGTTAGACCCCAAAACTGAATTTATGCACGCGCACGGTACTTCCTAGCAAGTGTTTCCGACTTTAAATATGGGGGGGGGGAAGGAATGGGGAAGACAGAGCAGAGTAAAGAATCTGCAGCGAACAAATGCCATCAAAGCAGAGTTAAAGCTCATCTTTGATCAGATGAGAACTTCCTCGGCTGTTCCTCACCATACCGACTTGAAGGTTAGCACGGAAGTTATTTAGGGGGCTCCTTCCTCGGTTGTAATTAAACCAGTTATGATTCTCGGACAAAGCATCCAATGAGAATAAAAAAAAAAGTTTCTCTTTTACTGTGAAATAAACTCAAGTTGAGGTCGGGTCTTCAGATTCTGTCAGCCAAAAGTTCACAGGGAAATTAATCCTGTTTGGGGAGGAGCTGGCGTTTCCAGGCCTCGTTCAAGTAAACTAGTCGTTTGTAGTTGATGATAAAGAGAATGAAGTTCAGCAAGTACGTGACAACACAGATAATGCAGAATTCCTTCAGCACAAAGTACAGAATGTAGGCCAGGTACAAGGATCCTATTACAGACACTAGGGAAGACATCATGAGGACTAGCGCCGCCACCGCACTGGCCGTCGTTCCTGGAAAGCAAAACACAGAGCAGTTACTGCTACTTCATTTTGGTCTTGAAACCCACCTTACCAACAAGGATTCTGGCTGTAACATGGTACAATCGTTATGATAAATTATACCTTAAAAAGAGATAAGTCGGTGTTTCAGCCAAAGCAGACTGTGACGGGGCAGATTTTTCTTTAATGCCTTTTAACAGTTTATCAAGCTCAGCAGTAGCATACTACTCACTGTTAGCCAAACGAACAAGAACCTCTCTTAATGCTAAAAACTTCAGTAATTTTTAATCTTGGAGAAGATGTCTTTGCAGCTTAAAGTAATAAATAACCCAACTTATTTTGCTAATTACAGAGAAGTACCATAAAGTTATGGTACTTTATACAGGTTGTGGAAGGTCAGTAGTTCAGCAGTTCGAGACCTGAGTTGCCGCATGACAGAGTGAGCTCCCATCTTTAGTTCCAGCTCCTGCCAACCTAGCAGTTCGAAAGCACGAAACTGCAAGTAGATAAATAGGTACCACTTCGGTGGGAAGGTAACAGCGTTCTGTGCGCCTTGGTGTTTAGTCATGCCGGCCACATGACCACGGAAATGTCTTCGGACAGCGCTGGCTCTTTGGCTTTGAAACGGAGATGAGCACCGCAACCCTAGAGTCGGACTCGACTGGCTTTCGAGCAAGGGAACCTTTACCTTTTACCATAAAGTAGATGTCCTAAAAGTATTGTATGATTTGTTACTTACTAATTATTTACATATGAGCACACCATGGGAGAGGATTTAAATTAAGTGGTTATTAATTGCAACTTTTGATAGACAAAAATGTATATCTGGCTGGCTGTTGAAATCCACATAGATGGTACTACTATGCGTTTGATGAAGGGAGCTTTGACTTTAAAAAGCTGGTCTTTAAGGTGCTACTGGAATTGAATCTATGCTTTAGTTGTTATTAGCTAGTATCCTTTTTTCTCTTCTTTTCCTGTTAGGGAAATCTTAAATAGTCATTAAGAAAAAGTCAATGATTAAAGCTTTGAAAATCATGCAGATGCAACCAAGGCTCCCTCTAAGCTGTGGAGTCCCGTGAGCAAAAATTCTACTTTCTGAGCTACCGGCATTAAAGTTGTGAGCAGGTAATTTGGCTACTGCATAAATTAGCTGGCTCTGGAGCCATCCTTCCTGAGCTAAGACAAAAATGTGTGAGCCGGGGGCTAAAAAACTGTGAGCTAGCTCACACTAACCCAGCTTAGAGGGAACACTGGATGCAACGCTATCTGACCTCCTACACTGATGAATACACTACAAGTGCCCTGTGGGTTCCTGGGTTCTCCCACCTTTCCGCTTGCATGCAAGGTCTTTTTGTCAGGTAGGTCGATTAGGAGTTTTATGGTACAGCTACGTCTAGGTCATACTGCTGCTAGAGTATGCACCAAGCCAATGTGCCATCCGGTTCCATGCATCGACCAAGTTTATTTATTTATTTTATTTCTATCCCGCCCTCCCCACAGGTAGGCTCAGGGCAAGGTCACAACAGAAAAAAATACCAACATAGATCAATCATTTTAAAAAACTCTAAGAAAACCATTCCAAATTCCCTAATAAACAAGACGGCATTCCCAAAACTTGTGGTGTCCTGGGCCTGTTTCCAACAGAGGGGATATGGATCCTGATTTGGTATGGGTTCCCAGAGTGGTAAATTTGCTGCTATCGAGGGCAGCTCGAGAAGGAGGGGCCAGATTTGGTTGGAGACCCGCCACCTCAACCAAAAGCCTGGTAGAACAGCTCCGTTTTACACGCCCTGCGGAATTGTAATCGTTCTCCGGGTTGCTCTTCTTTTTAAGAAACTGTCCACAAATCATTTTTAAAAAACACGGAACACATCCGTAACACAGATGAACGGCCTCCCCTTTATGGAGCTAACCATGGCACAGGATTGAATGCAACCAATTATCCTGAGAACCATACATAACTCAGAGCCAAGAGGAAGCATCAGGGGAAGGCCTCGGCCTCTATGCCCTGTTGTCGGCCCTCCAGAGGAACTGGCTGGCCACTGCGTGAGGCAGGATGCTGGACTAGAGGGACCACTGGCCTGATCCAATAGGGCTCTTCTTACGTTCTTACAAGAAGCACACAAGGGAGGTGAACAAGAGAACACGCAGGGCGCTACCAATCACCTAACAATGTTACTTCTGCACCAAGAGAGTCATGTCAAGGACAGTGTTCCCTCTAAGCTGATTTACTGTGAGCTAGCTCACAGTTTTTTAGCTTCCAGCTCACACATTTTCCTCTTAGCTCAGGACGGATGGTTCCAGAGCAAACTAATTTATGCAGCAGCCAAATTGCTCACTCACAACTTTAGTGTCAGTAGCTCACAAAGTAGAATTTTTGCTCACAAGACTCCACAGCTTAGAGGGAACATTGGTCAAGGATGTTTGGGCTTAATAGCCTAGACACATGGGCACGGAAGATCATTGCGTGGTACCACGAAGCCACAACACAGGACACGCCTCTCCTGCAGGAAAGGGTGCACACCCCCAACGGGGGTACTGAACCGTGTCGAAAAGGTGTGCGAGCACCACCCCCTGATTTATTTAATGAACCATCAATGCACAGGACTTTGGAGAACAAGGAAGAAGAGACAGCCTGTGCAGGGATAGGGAAGTTACCCAGCTTCATAGAGTTATTTTACACTTTAATGAGAAAGCAGCAATAGAGGACACCCAAGGGACCATCCTCTTTTTGAATTTCCAACACCCCTTAGATTTGGAATTCAGACTCACAAGTGAGTCCCATCATTCTCCCCCATGAGCTTTCCCTGACCCCCCCCCCCCCAAAAGGAGCTGCAGGCAGACTTTTGCCTGGTCACCTGGGGCGAGGAAGAATCTCTTACAGGCAACCAGGCTGGAGAGCTTTCATAAACTTGCAAGATGGTTGCTCCTTTCTCTTTTTACAGGCAGGGGAGAAGCCAAGGTCCCTGAGTCACCAGGGCAAGCTTTACATCTCCTAGGCAGCTCAGACAACATACAATCTCGCCTTCAGGAACTAGATCTGCACAAAGCCCGCAAGAGCATTATAAAGAAAAGGCATGACAACTTACCAAGTAGCATCTGTAGTATATAAAACACAAGTCCGAAAACACTGTTCGGTTGGTTTATTGCACTGTCCTTCCCAAATATGGAGCCCAGCAGGCCGAACCCTCGACCCCATCTGCAAGACAATGGACCAAACACTCTACATTGTAAGAACTGGCTTTTTTTACTTCCCGTTTCAATCAGTCTCACAAGTAGCAAGAGTTAAACATGATCCCATACAGACTGCTCAGTTACCCCCCCCAACCCCACCCCTCGCCCCCAAGAAGAGAATCCTGTTTTGCTTAAGTCAGAAAAACTGCACAAGAATGCTCCATGTTAACCTGGCAACTGGCTCCGTGGGTGAGCCTGTGCAAACAAGATGCTATCAGTTATGTAACAGTGCAAACAAAGCACTATCTCCTCCAAACATATCCTTGAAAATATGTTGTATTGCTATATAAATGCAATGTACTGGAGATGATCTTATACAAAAATCCTCATACTTCATATGTCGAGTAAAACCTGTCTTAACTACTCCACTAATTCCAATAGACTGTATTTCGTAGGGTTTTCTGGTGCGCCCCCAAATTTACAATTTTCCCATTGGCAAGTAATTTGGGGGAAAGGAACAACTTTTTTCCAGTTTTCTGTTCAGTCTTCACATCTGTGAACTAAAGGAGTGGGTGTTTTCAGTGGCAGATTACAAGGGGTGGCAAAATTGCCATCTCCTACCGTACCCCACATTTCAGAGCCCTCCACGTTGTTTCCAAGGAGACCCTATTGCTGGCCAACTCAGAGTGCCATAAACCATTACGGGCCTACATACCAAAGGCACCACTCCCTCCACTGGGGTTCATCTCATCCCCCAGCAAGAAACTGATGCCTTCAAGTCAAAACAGCATGACAATGAAGAAGTTGTACAGCACTCCCCAAAGCTACTGGCCAAGTCAAGGCAACACCAGTGCATCAGCAAGCAAAAGTGACCCGACAGAAGAAGAGGAGATTGGATTTATATCCCGCCCTTCACTACGCAGAGTCTCAGCGCGGCTTACAACAGCCCCGTAGCTAGGGAATTCTTTGTGAGGGGGCCTTGGGGGGCCCACCAGCTAATTAAATGGAAGTACAGTGCAGGTGGTAGGTTGGAGCATTTGGGGGGCAGCCCAGGAGAGAGGGGGCCCAGAAGAAACACTAGGGGGCCGGGCCCCGTGGGCCCCATGTTAGCTACGGGCCTGGCTTACAAACTCCTTTCCCTCCCCCTCCCCACAACAGACACCCTGTGAGGGAGGTGGGGCTGAGAGAGCTCTGACAGAAACTGCTCTTTTTCCAGAACAGCTGTGCCAGAACTATGACTTGCCCAAGGTCATCCAGCAGGTGCAAGTGGAGGAGTGGGGAATCAAACCCGGTTCTCCCAGATTAGAGTCCGCGCACTTAACCACTACACCTGGGCTGTGGCTGCATCTCTACAATAACATCAGTATCTCGCTGGAGGGCAGGAGACCCCCCCCCCCATGCCTTGCAGAACTCACGTGGGTGGCACAAAGTGTGTGTGGCCCGCATTGGACTCTTTAAAACTGGGCATGCCACTAGAGCCTAAGAGGAACCTTCCTGCACTGCTAGCTGCTCTCCTAAGCCAGAGGTCGGGAAAGGAAGACAGCAGTTGGGGGAGGAGTGGCTAGCCACCTCTTGGCCTGAAGCTCCAGGGCATCTGCATTTGACTGTTTATTAGATCTAGGTAGTCAGCTGTGTTGGTCTTAAGCAGTAGAACACATTGAGAGTCCAGTGGCACCTTTAAGACCAACAAAGGCTTATTCAAGGTATGAGCACTTATGCGCAAAGCACACTTTTCCAAATACAGTGGAATGGGAGGTAAGGATCAAACTTATAGACTGTAACTTATAGTCTATAACTCTGAACCTTACCTCCCATTCCATTGTATTTGGAAAAAGCGTGCTTTGCCTACGAAAGTCCATACCTTGAATAAACCTTTGTTGGTCTTAAAGGTGCCACTGGACTCTAAATCTGCTTGACTGTTTATTAGTACTTCTCTAATCCATTTATATCACTGACCTGGCTAGCCCGGTAACGAAAGCTAAGCAGGGTCAGCCCTGGCTAGTATTTGGATGGGAGACCTCCAAGGAATAACAGGGTCACGACACGGAGGCAGGCCATGGCAAACCACCTCTGAAGCCTCTTGTCTTGGAAACCCTGTGGGTCGTCATATGTCAGCTGTGACTTGACGGCACTTTCCACCACCGCTGCCACCACTCCCATTAAACTCCATTTTTCTCACCAAAGTAGCATACTACTTTGTCTTCACAACAGCCCTGTGAGGTAGGCGAGGCTGAGAATGTGTGACTGGCCCAAGGTTTGTTTGTTTGACCCAGCGAGCATCCACGGCGGAATCTCCCAAATCTTAGGCCAACTCTTTAATCACTTTACCACACTGACTCTCCTACAGCACATTTTTCTAAAGGGAAAACAGTACTACCACAGCTTTTACCACGGAGAATGAGGGATTTACCCGACTGGCCCAGGTCTCAAACTGCTATAGGAGTTCACCCCTCTAGCTTTACGGCACTCGTTTCTGTTTATGAAGAGGACTGACTCTCCATTGCCACCAGCAAGCCATTCAGACTTGCAGTCTGATGGCCTACACAGTTAGACCTTTTGGAGCGGGGTGGGGGGGTGGGTCCTCCCTAATTCAGCCAACATGGAGGTAAGGGGGAAATGTAGAGCACTTTTATAAATGCTGCAGCTTACTGCACTAATTACTGCGCACATTAAGGTAAAGGTTTCCCTTGCTCGAAAGCCAGTCAAATTTTACAGTAGGGGTGCGGTGCTTATCTCCGTTTCCAAGCCAAAGAGCCAGCGCTGCCCGAAGACGTTTCCATGGTCATGTGGCTGGCGTGACTAAATACCAAGGGGCACGGGACGCTGTTACCTTCCCACCGAAACGGTACCTATTTATCTACTTGTAATTTCTTGCTTTTGAACTGCTAGGTTGGCAGGAGCTGGGACCAGAGGTGGGAACTCCCTTCGTCATGTGGCACTCGGGTCTCGAACTGCTGAACTACTGACCTGTGCACTGTGTTCCAATCTTCCCTGTTAGTTGTTGTTAGTGCACTGCATTCCAGTTTTTACATTATTTCTCATGTGTCTTGTTTTTTCAGGGCATAGATTTTTGTAATTTTCCAGTTTTGTAATCTTCCGAGCACAACCCTCCCAGGGCTAGCTCCTTTGGGACTAAGTGGCCCCTTGGAGAGCGGCAGGATCCCTTACAGAGGTACACAGAAATTTAAACAGCTTAAGAAAAAAACTGAGCCACATCAACAGAGCATCTGTTGTGCTCATGAACTTCCAGCAGCAGAATCGGCACTTTTCCTCTTGAGCCTTAAGGATCAAAGTCACTTCTGATGAGACACATTCTATGTTTTGCAGTTTCCCTGGAGACTAAAAAAGAGGCACCAAATTTGAAGGTTCCTCTAATCGCACCATAGAGCTGGCAAGATTATGGGGGAAATTCCAAGCAATGGAAAGCAGCAGAATTCCAACCCATAGATTCTCTGACTGAAAACTATCTGCCCCAGTACTCCATGAACAGACTTTGAGATCATGACAGGCAGGGGTTGTTTCGTAGAAAAAGAGCTAGGGGAACTCATTAGCACAACTCATTAGCATATGCCACACCCCCTGACATCACCAGAAGTGTGTCATAAGGCCACACCCCCTGACATCACCGAGAGTGTGGCATAAGGCCACACGCCCTGCCCCCAACGGTCCCGGCCACCGCCGCCAGCCTTGCAGCTCCACTGCCGAGCACCATGAGGGGCCCGGTGGTGGACCTGCAAGGCCGGCGGGAGTGCAAGGAACCCCCGCAAAGGCCCTCCCTGGCCCCAGGCAGGCAGGGAGGAAGCAACTTACCCTCCCTCTTCTCCTGCCTCCTCCTGGCTGAATGAGGGCCGGAAGCGGGGCGGCCGGAAGCAGGGGGCGGGGCTTCATCATGTGCCCCGCCCCCCATACCTCACCCGGGGGAACTGCGATCCCCCGCGATCCCCCCCAAAATGACCTCTGATGACGGGGTTCTGACAACCTGGGGGACTCAATGTGGCCCCAGGGGTTTCTCATCTAGGCCCTAGCATCTCCCATTAATGCCGGGCTATAAAACCTGCTGCTCTCTAGGGAACCAAATACAGCTCTTTAAGCATGTTTGAAGAGTAGGTGGGATGCTAGACTAAACAGTACATGAAGGGAATGGCAAACAAAGATTTTTATGGGACGACCGGTTTCTTAAGAGATGCTTTTCAGAAAGGGAAATGACAGAAGTTAACAGTTGCTAGTAATCCAAGTGGGAACCACACAGAGATTTATGCCAGTGCACTAAAACAATTGCAGAGGGCCCTCCTGTGTGTATTTATGACTTACTGTGAAATCGTGCATGGGTCACTTCCTGACAAACCCTGCACAGGCGCTAGTGTTTGCGCTGCGGACAAGTTCTGAGTAATCAAACAACATGTTGAGCCATAAGAACACAAGAAAAGCCATCTTGGATGAGACCAAAGACCCATCCAATCCAACACTCTGTGTCACACAGTGGCTAAAACCCAGGTGCGGTTAGACGTCAGGTCCAGTAGCACCCCAGGCACCAGCAAGATTTTGGGAATATGAGCTTTTGAGAGTCAAATCTCCCTTCATCAGATACCGCTGACTCTCAAATGTCCATACCTCGAAAATCCAGTTGCTCTCTTAAGGTGCTACTGGAACTTGAATCTAGCTGTTCTACTGTGGAACAACGTGGCTATCCTCTGAAATTAAAATGTTTTCAGTTATACAGGTAGGCTTTCTCATACAGACTTCTCTGCAAATCCCTTGCTCTGCATTTTGACATAGTGTGGCTCTATAATCCTAAAAGGTTGCTGACCCTTGCCTTAATTCAAGGCCATCCACTGATGCAACTCACAGGAGACAGGCTAAAGCTTCTTCCCCACACGAATAGCAAGAGGATGGGGCAGAGCCCCCCTCCCCAATTTATGTCCACTGGCCTACTGCATGCAAGACAGCAGCTGAGCTCCGTGAGAGGAGATTCCTGCCAGAGTATGTAGTGCTGTTTGCGTTGGGGAGCAAGAGGTTACGCTGCCC